TAAGGCGTCTTCCGAAAGCGTCGCTGGCTTCAGGCGAGCCCGATATTCCGCCGACAAAATGGAGCGGCCAAACTTCCCGCGGCTGCCCCGCGCCGGGCTCGGGAAGCGCCGCTCCGCTGCGGGAGGAGGTTAAAGGCGGCCTCTCCCCAGCGAGGCCCCACGGAGGGACCCCCGCGAGCCAGGGGGGCTCTGGATCCGGCCGCGCTCGGAGCAGGACAAAGAGCGGATGGCGCTGGCGCCCGGGCTCCCAATGCGGAGCCTCGCAGCTCCTCCCGGCAGCCCCGAGCTGGCCGTGGAGCGCCCCAAGACGAGGCTGCAACGCTGTGCCGGGTGCCCACAACACGGGCCCCCGCGTGCCTCACAGGGAGCCACTCTGTCCTGCGAGAGTTCAGCCTGCAGAGCAGCGTCCAGACCTCACGCTAAGCCTAGGAAATACCTTTCCCAGCCGTGGGCTCGGGGAATTTTGGAGAAATCCATAATACTGTTATTTTGAAAAAAGCAAATTTCTCCTTAGTCGTTACTTGATTTTGGTTGTTGTTGTTAAATAGGAGAACTTTGTAAAACTAGCTGTTTATTTTCAGATTGCTAGCTGGTTTAATTTCCCCTGCTTACCTATTTTTATCCCCTTCAGATGGTGCCTCTTGCTGGGGCCTTGGAGCGCAGTGCTTTAATTGCTGTTCCTGGTGCTCTAAGGGAAGTCCTGGGCACGCGGCGCCGGCCCCGCGGAGACGCTGCCCTGCGCCAGCCTTTGCTGTTGCTGCTTTGTTTAGGCTGGTGCTTCTCGGGGACGGGCAGCAGAGCTGAACCGAGCTTGGGAAGGCAGACAGAGGCCTCTGGCCCTGCCGCTGCCCGGCATCCAGCAATGCAAGCTCAGGCCTGGCTTTGCAAAGGGCCGGCTTTTCACTCCATCCCCAGTAGAGCCTTGCTGGAAAAGCCCTCTCCAGCCTTTCCTCCCTGCAGCTCCTTTTTAGATACTTCCCAGCACAGCTAAAAGAGATGTCCCTTTGCTTAAAAGGCACCTTTCACAGTATCTGCCAAGGCAGAAATGTATTTTGCTATTGAACTCCCAGTACAGAAGGGCATGACAGATAAAAGCCTGAATTTAACAGACAGAAGCAAACAAACAGAAAAAGCCTATATAAAATATTTTCTGTGGTCTTGCTCTGATCCTTTCATGATGCCTAGAAGGATTCCTTTGCCATGAAGATGTTTTATCTGGCTGGGCCTGGGCACTTCCTCCAAACTCTCTCTTTGATACCTGAACCAAAACATTCAAAGTCGGAGACTGTCGGAGCAGATGACAAGAAGAAGGAGTTGAACATGTACAGTTCGTAAACCTGACCTCTTCCTTTCTGCCAGGCAATTTCCCAGATATATGTGTCAGGGAAAAAGAGTGAGGGTGTGTATGTGGAAAAAATCTCCACAGCTGAGTTGCTCTTAGCGAAAACAGATATGCTCACTGATGGCCTGTATTCACCCTGTGATTTCTAATGGCCGGTGTGAGAGCTTCCTTGAGCCTCACTTTGCTTCAGATTCTTCCTTGGCCCTAAAAGAAGGAAAGGATCTTTCTAGGATTATTCTGCCTTCCTTTCCTTGAAATGCTGTTTTTTTCCTGGTCCTCTGGAGAGATTTTATTTTCTCTTAGTTTCTGTCAGAGCTGGAGAAGAGGAGCATCATCAAGTCTGTAAACTTTCCCTTGGGGAGGTCTATTTTTTGTTCATGTTAGGCAATACTAAGGTTTTTGTGTACAGCATTGTAGGGGTCTAAGAAAGACATTAGGGCTTGTCAGGTCATTCTGGACAGCAGAGGCTGTTTACTGAGCCCTGTATCTCCTGCTCTGGTTAGACCTGGTGCATTATGTCTTTACTGGGTTGAAAATGTGATTATTGGGAAAACGTGAAGCTGTTGCCTGGGTCATCTTGCACAGTTCCTCCTGGGGCTCCGCTTGCTGTTGGCGAGCTCCGGTGACCCCCTCTTGGTGCCTCTTCCCAAGCCAGGCCCCACCTGAAGTGCAGGTGAGCGCTTGGTGACACCCCCATCCCGTCAGGTGGGCCCCACAGGCTGGGTGGCAGCCGGAGAAACCTGCTCGCTCCCGCCAGGGCCCTGCACGGACGGGCTGGGGCTGGGGCTGAGCTGGGCACAGTGCTCGGCTGGGGCTGTGGGTAGGGCAGGCCAGGCTGTCGTTGCCTGGTGTCCTTTATAAAGCTGCTTTTCCCGTCATGCGGCTACAAGGGAATCTGAGCTTTCCTTTAAAAATCATTTTCTAGCACTGTTGACTGGGAAAAAATCTGTGAAACCATGAAAAGATTTAACTCTTCCTTGCTTGGCTGCAGCTGTGATCCCAGGGGACTGCCCTGATAGGCACAGGCTGGCAGGAGTGCCCTGTGTGGCGACCATCTACCTGAGACATCTTCAGTGCAGACTGAGGGACACGAGACACCAGTGTGCTCCTTACATCACCTTTGTGTTCTTTACATCCCCTTATAGATTCATTGACCTTTGAGAGTCACCAGTTGCTGCTAAGGACAGCCTGATGTCCTTTTTAACTCCAGAAACAATTGAGTTTTTAAGTTATAGACCTACTTACAAAGCTGTAAAGAAGGGCCTTCCCATGGGGGAAGCAGCGTGTGCATTTAAAAGGTGAAGATGTTCTTATTGCCCTCTGGGCAGTGGCTGTGCGAGGGGTTTCAGCCCCGGCCTGTCTGTGCGACGAACTCCGACACCCACCGGATCACCGCGTGCTCCGGTGTCTGCATTCCCGGCTGCCTCGCCATTAAGGCTCCCTGCCTGCAGGCAGTGAAATGTGTCCTCCAGAGTTTCTTTTGACCACCTCCTTACTCCCTGCAAGTCACTCACTGCAGGGACAGTGAGGAGGTGTAAAATCCAACCCCAGCCAAATGTTTTGGGAAAACTCTTTCCAGAAACCCCTTTAGCATGAGGTGAAGCTTCCCTGTGCCTTTCCCCTTCTTCTCAGCACGGCGGCCTCTGCCTCATTTTTGCCCCCAGTTGCAGCCCTGTCACTGGGAGGAAGCTGCTGTTACTGTGTGAGGCTGCAGAAGCCACACAAATGAAAATTCCTTCACAGTGGATCTTAGCACTCAGAATCTGTCCAAACCAGGCTCATATGGTATCAAAATGAAGGCAATGTCACTGTTACATGCTGCAAGTTGTCTGTAGTGAGCTGTTAGTCCCAGAAGTTGGTCCCTTTCCTGCTTTGGGAAGGATTTGTTGTTATAGAGTAAGCAGTGTTGAAAGTCTCTCCAGTTTTCCTCTACTTTTTCTATTGAAAGTGAACTGTTTGGATGATGATAAAGAGAATTTGAGAGTACAGAGATATAGAAAGTGCACATTGCAGTAGTTTCACTCTGTGAACACAAAGGCTTTTGTTCGCTGAAAACAGCAAGTACCTTCTTGGCACAACACACTGCAAAACTGCTGTCCAGCTCAATGATAAGGTCTGTGCGTGGCATTAGGTAACTAGCTGCTCTCTTTGCATGTGGAAACCCCTCATTCAGGTGCAAAAATGCTGCTTGTTGGTGTAACTGTTTGTTCACGCAAAATTTACCTCGTGAAAGTTTGTCCTGAAGAGACATTGTGATTACAGTTGCCTGTTCCAGAAAGGTCTGGCATAAGATTCAGACCGAAATAAAAAGGGCATCGGAGAAACTGTGGCTCTCCATGGGATAACAGTGGTATTTCATATTCCAGTACTCAGAAGGGAGCATGCTGCTGCTGGCAGTAAGACACTTACAGCAAGGGGGTAAAAATAAGGTTCAGAAACGAAGGCAGAAGGAAAAAGGAAACTGAAAGTCTAGTTAAACTAATTGCGTTCAATGTTCCACCCAAGAAAATAGTCTTGCTGCCTAAAACTTCCCCATCTCGCCCCCCGGAGCATGAGACTGGTGGAGTCGGAGCCCCTGGCTGATGTAAGAGCTTTCTGCACTCATCCACTTCAAAATAACTTGGTGGGTGACGAGGTGTTTTCTTAACCTCTCCTCTACTGCTACTGAATTGGTTTTCTCATGTTTTACAGATGGGTTGCTTCTCCCCTGTGCTGAATGCAAATAAGCCTATAACTTAAGACTTGTTGAACAAGTATATTTAAGTTATTACAACTCACGGAGAAGAAACATACTGTGTAGTGAAAATAAACAGGGTGCCACATAAAACGTTGTTATCTCCCATGTCAGCAAAATTTAGGAAAGAAATTATTTGGAAAGAAAATGTTAGTTTATATTAAGTAGCATAATGTGTGACTGAAGAAGAGTCAAATAGCCATTTTAGAAACTTGCAAATCATGTGCATTTCCAAGAGAAATAGAGTCCTAACCCACAAACTGCCGTGTTTATCAGTCCCTCTGCGGCAGGGAGCCCAGGCTCGCGATGCGACCGCTCGTGCGCTTAAGCTAAGGGTGGGATTAGTAAGGTGTGGGAGACACAGAGTACCTCCTGCTCGACTGGATGGGCTTTGTGGGCCTTCCTGCAGGATCGGAGCTCTGAGAAAAGCTGCGGTGCAGCTGTTGACCTCCGGGCAGCACAAGGTTCAGCTTGGGTGCCACACTGGCTTCCCAAGGCGAGCCACCTTTCTGGCGGCTCTCCACACAGACTTGGATTGAAAACATGGGTCTGGCGGAGAAACGCAGTCCTGGTGTTGCCTCCCTGCAGCCGTGGGGAGCCCTCCTGTCCATCCAGCCGCGTGGGACCTTGGCCACAGCCACTGGCTCTGGAGCTGCCTTGCTGCTGCTCTCCCCCGCGCCAGCAAAAGCAGCTGCCAGACTTGAACGGGCGGAAACTGCAGCCATCTGTGCACAGTTCATGTGGCAGATACAATGCCTGTTAAGGAGGGAAAAGTGCAATATTGATGAATAATGGGAAGTACCAATGAAGAGTTTGTAAAGTTAAGTATATGTAAAAAGGATAAGTCTTCTAAATGTTATGTTTTGGTGATACTTATGGATGTGGTGCTGCTCATCACTTATCGTGAATTTTTCTTTGTTTCAGGTAGGAATGAATTGATAGCGAGATACATCAAACTTAGAACAGGGAAGACACGGACCAGGAAGCAGGTAAAATAACCCAGTGGGGAAGTATGCATGTCAGTGAATGACAAAACATGGCATTTTTGGCTGCAGTGGCTGTCTGCTTCAGCTCTGATGAGATGATGTATTGACTTTACTGTTATGATTAAGTATGTGCTTCTTAGGAAATATTTAAAAATGGGTTTTGTGTTGTACGTCATTTCAGTGACAGTCTGAGATGCATTTTTATTAACCTATGTGTACATGAAGCTATCATCCCCCTTATTTGAAAAAAAAAGTTTTAAAAGTCAAAGCAGAAAACAAAGTATTGTGCCTTACCTTTCTAGAAGGACTTTCTAGAAGGAATTATAATGTAATGATAGTTTTGACATGGTGGATAATATCCAGTCAATTTCCCTATATAATAAAGGTTATAATGCCTGGATATGAGAGCTAAATAAGTAACAAATATCTATCAGAACACATAGTAATCATACTGTCCACTCATGGATAGTACATGGATACTGCAGGATGAAATAACAGTAATAAAAAATCCCTGTAAGAGCCTTCAGGCTCCTAGTCTGTGACCACGGTAAGATTTCATTCTTCAAAGAGGCAGAATAAACCTCTAACCAGTCTTAAGTCTTTCTGCAGTGATTATTGCATGACCATTAACTTACCTTGTATGACTAAATCACTTAATTTACAATATCCATGGTGATCAGCAGTCCCACAGAGGACAAAATCTGTCTCGGTGTAGTCTTATGTTGTGGTGACTAAGCTGTTGCGCTGCCTCCAGCGGCTTTGCGAGGCCCGGAGCCTCCGGCTTCCTCTAACGAGATGCGCTCGTGCCCGTTGTCCCGTGCGGGCGCGTGCCGGAGGCGAGGCCAAGGCTTGCATGTGCTGTGGGGATGGGACGTGGAGAAGGGCGCTGCCGGGAAGGCGCCGGCTCCTCTCAAAGCTCTTGCCGTTGGGTGGTGTTTTGCCCTGGGTGATGTCCTTTGTCTATTAGGAGGAAAACATATGTACAAGGGAAGAAAAATGAAGTCACGAGAAGGCAGAGAAACTGCAGCGCACAGAGAAGGAACACACAAACGATTGCCAAAGAAATCTAACACTAAAGAAGACCCAAGTTCTGCCCTGTTGTGCTTATATGAGCTCTGCTAGATTGGGGTTACACTGGTGATTTTAAAATTGCATCCAGAGTCAAAATGCAGACTGTGTGGGCTAGACCCTTGGCCAACGTATGCTGGCAGAGATGCAGTGAAATCAAGCAGGCTGCGATGACTTACATATGGTGACGTGTGCCTCCATCTATGATGTGTCATAAATCACTTTGGACCGAGCGTTTAGAAAAGCTTGATTTTCCTTGCTTTAGAAATTCTATTGAGCAATTAAACATTACAGTTGTGCTCCTTCTGTAACCTTTAACATCACTAATAGCCCACTGAAAGCGTGTGAAAACTTGGGTCTACGTGATTGACTCTAAAATTGCGCAGTAAGCCACAGCACAACCCTGAACGAGCACAGGCTGCCCCCCGAGCTGCTTCTCGGAGGGTTTCTGCAGGTGGCCTTCCAAGACAGTGCTCATTTATGTGTCACTATCTGCTTCCCACTAAAAATACAGGGTGTTCTGATATTACTGTCATGAAATAGGCTTTAAAAAGAGAGGAGGTAGAGCTTTGTTTCCCTCCCCCCCCCTTTTTCTTTTTTTTTGCTTGTCTTATTTCCCAGCCAGGAATTGTCCCTGACTTGAACGTGCACAGCACCCGGTACATTGGGCCCTAGATCCACTAAGAGGGATCTCTCTTCAGCAGCTTATGCCACTGTGGGCCCTAAACGTTGACGTTGCGCTCTGCAGCCCCGTGCTGTGCTGAGCTGTGCAGTCTGAAGCCTCCTCATCCACCTGGTAAATTTTGATACATGGTGGAGGAAACAAGAAGCAAATCAGGACCCCTGGTCCTTCCCTGCACTGGCAACAGTTTGGGCTAATAATATTGGTCCAGTGCAGGACTGGGTTTACCCAGGCTTCCCACTGCAGTGTAGTAGGTACTGACGATGGGCCAAACCTGGGCATTGCCCACACCAGCATTGGGGTTCTGCTCCTCACCATCAGCAGTGTTTTATAGGCAAATTTGATGTTTAACTTGCAGAGAAAGCCAGCATAGGTTCTGCTTTGGAGACCTATATTGGGCCAATATTTTCCTGGTCCTTCCAGAGTTTAGAGGGTTTGGGTCAAAACGCAGCCAAAGCCTCCTGGCTAGAGCTGCAGAGCCCGACAAATAAGGGATCACTTCAACAACGACGAGTGAAGGCCCAAGTGGCAGAAATGACGCCCTGGGGCTGGGGCAGGACGTGCACGGCCTGCGCGCCCAGCGACGGGGCTGCACTCGAGCCCTTCGCTCGCGCGCGATGCCTTCGCTCGCGAGCGCGCTTCCTCCCGGCAGCGAGGCCCTGCAGCGACGTCCCACACGGCTGCGCGCCGGCGCTGCGAGCGCGCTGTCTGCCGGGAACGTGGTGTCTCTAACAGCAGAGCTTACTGAGGATGCAAATAACTGACCCCTGCGGAAAGAGAAAAAAAAAAAAAAAAAAAAAAAAAAAAGATGAATTTGGAGCATTCCCTATCTTTTGTCAGCACAAGCTGGTGCCAGGTCCTGTTCCAAGCTGTAATCCTGCATGCAAAGTAATAAAGCAAGCAAGGGAAGTCTGATGCCCGACTCCAAACAGCTGCTGTGTGACCCCCCTGCAAAGCAANAAAAAAAAAAAAAAAGAAAAAAAAAAGGTTATTTAAAACAATAGATATTTTAAATTTGATTTGCTTTTTGTTTTTCTTTTGTTTGTTTTTTTTATAAACCTGAACAATGTAGGTGTCTAGTCACATACAGGTCTTAGCAAGAAAGAAAGTTCGAGAAATCCAAGCCGCCATTAAGGTACGTCTGGCTTGCCCAGTTGTAGGGGGCTTTTCATCTCCATGGTTACAGGCTTTTCCTTTGTTTCCTCCCTTCCCCTACCCTGCAGGTGTCTAGTCACATTCAGGTTCTTGCCAGAAGGAAATCTCGTGATTTTCATTCCAAGCTGAAGGTATGCGCTTTTCTGCTTTTGGGCTTGTGGTTGCTATGCATTTCACTTCCTGTTTGCCATGGTGATTGGTGAATGCCTGGTGCTGTGATTCTTGTAACCTAGTTTTCTTGCATGTGGTAGCTGTTTACATTTCTTTGTGTTTAATCTCTGATTTCTGCACTCACATCCACATTAAAAAGATTATTTTAACACTGTCCAAATGCAAAGTGAACGACTCTTTTTAACAGCTCAGCACCTAAACCTGATTTTTTTTAACCCATTTTTTTTTAACAGTTGAGCAGTACCTTTAAATACACAGAGAATTGTGCACTTGTAGAGGCACTTTTTCTTTTTCCAGAGGGCTAATTGAGGGAGTTCTTTTCTGCTCCAAAATATTTTTTTTTTGTCTGTGCTTTTGAAATGCTATCAAGAATACTTAAAATAGATTGTTTATTCGAAGTGCTGGACAGCACAGTTTATCACGATTGCTCTAACTATAAGGTGTTTCTAGAGTACAATCTAATATCACCTTAAGTGAAATTCTGTTTACAAGATTCCCTGAAAAATTATTTTTTAAAGCATAATGTTGACATTTAATCTTTGGAGAGCCTCTGCCAGAATCCCCTTCAGGGAATATTAGGTATGTCTGCTTAATCTGACTTGATGAATTGCACAGGATCCCATTTTCCCTGTTTTCCATAAAATATATTCTAAGACTAAAAAGAAACTCCTGGAAATGCATATAGGGGTTTCTTGGTTTGCCTGCTTTTTCACAGTTTCCAGTGCAGAGTTTGGGACTCTTTTTTGTTCTGCTTTTACATTACTTGAACATGGGAGAAGAGGGAGCTTTACCGTTTTCGTTGCCCTTCTTTTTTTCTTTTCTTTTTTTTTTTTTTTNCTCCTTCAGGGCAGCTCCATTTTCTCCCATGATTGGACATTACAGAGCACACTCAACACCCCAGCCTCCAGCTTCCTTTTGCAGGAGTTTTTTGGGCCCTTCTTTTTTTCTTTTCTTTTTTTTTTTTTTTTTTTTAAGAAAAAGCAAAGGAACTTGCAAATCTTTTACTTCCCTCCTTTTTCCCCTTTTTAGTTGATTTTTTTTTCCCTCAGATGAGAACAAATCATGTTTTTGTTCTAGCTGAAAAGCAAAATGTTTCAGAAAGTAATTTCACAACACTAAGTGGTGAGCTCTGCAGATCTTACCACAGTCCTGGAGCTGCAACATATAAATAACAGACTGGCTTTATAACAGGCTTTCTTGACAGAAGCATTTGGTTTCCAGTCCGCAGTGGGCAGCATGCTGGCAAGCTTGTATGGCTGTTGGTGGCTGGCTTTTTAGCTGCACTGGCTGAGCAGTTGGGGTTCATAAAGAACAACTAAGACAACTTAAACATACTGCTTTTTAACCGAGGGTGCAATAATACAGAGATATGTGGCATTTTAAGCTTAAATTGTCAATCCTTGGTGCCTAAAATTAAGAATGTAAAGAGAAGGCCTTTCTTTTGGAGGTGCTCAGCACCAGCAGATCTCAGGGCTTTTATAGGAATGTCAAGTGCTTAGGGCCACAAAAATCAGGAAACATATTTAGATATCAAAATCCAGACTTAGGAACCTAGAAAAATATTGGCTTTAATATTCTAAAACATTTCCCTTTCTGAAATAACATTCTCAAACAACCTAAATCTATGAAGACACTTTTTAAAACAAAAAAAAATATTCTTTATTACTGCACCTGCTGATTTTTATTGAAGCTTTCCAAAGAAGAAAGAAGCTAGCTAAACCCTAGTAATACTTAAGTCCTCCAGCCAAAATAATATTTGCAGTAAATAGAGATCCAAGGGTAGGGTTTTTTTTATTTTATTTTTAAGGGATTGCTTGAAGAAGGAGAGATCTATTAGGGCAAAGAAACATTTTGTGAGGCTTTCTGAACCTCCAGCCCTTCCCATCCATCGGCAGGTTGCAGCAGACACTCTCTTCAGCCCCCTGAGAGAGCACGCGAGGGCAGGGAGCCCGTCGGTGCGAAGGGCAGTTTCCCTGGGCTCGGGGCGGCCCAATCCATCCTGCTCTCCCGCTTCTCCGCAGGCTGCTGGGCTTTCTGGGCCGGCGCTGACTGGAGCGGTGCTGGCGGGCAGCCCTGTGCCTGCCCGCTCCTGCGTGTCCTGAGCTGGGCCCTCCGTTCTGGTGGGAGCCAGTGATCCCATCCCACCCCTTCAGAGGGACCCTGGGCCTCAGGAAAGCCTAAAAATTTGCAGAGGAGCCAGCGAGGCTTTCGCCGTCACTCCTGGGCTTCTTGTCCCACTTGTTCTCAATGATCGAGATCTCACGGCTTGGCTTGTGCACTCTTTGCACAGATCCCATCCAGAGCAGTTGCTGCTTCTCAGGGTTTCTTTCCCCAAGTGGGAGATGGCGCGTTGAGGAGAGCAGTTGCCATGAGGATGCTGGCTTTGTAAGGAAGGGAGCTGTTACTTCATCTGCCTGACTGAGGGGCTGTAACTGCCTTCTTGCAGGTGGGAGCAACCACTTGTTTTGAACCTGAGAAGGAATCTCACTCCCCCAGGCAATTTGTTAGTGGCATTGCCAGTATTTCTGTTCTTATTCCTGTATTGACCCATCCCTATTTCCCAGTATACTTTGAAATCTGCTTGAGGAAACATCGCTGATTTGAAATGAAGACAGGCAGAATTTATTTTATCGTCCAGGAATGGCCATTGTTTCGGTGAGGACTGTGCTAGCAGCAGTCTGCAAGGGCCCATTGATCTGCAGGAAGATTATGCACTCTGTTCTCCTTCTTGAGCAGGTGCTGCCTGCCTTTTGCTGTGAAGGGATAATCGCTTTCAGCTTCATTTCTCTAGATTAGTGTTCGGGAACAGGTGGAAACTGCCTGTGAGTATCTGAGGTAACAAAGGGGCCTGGCTCGCCATGCTGCTCCCTGCTCCATCCTCTTGGCCAATCTCATGGCTTCGGCAAGGAGCTCGTACTTGTACTTACTTTGTGAAACATGTGATGGGTGGCATTACTACTTAAAATAACACATGCCTCCACTGCCAGGTTTCCTAACTACCATGTGAGGAGAAAGCACCCTGGGGAAGAAGCCCAGAGATCCTTCTTGCCAGTGCACAGTTAGGAGTTCAGGCAGACCTGACCCGCGGCAGCCCTGTGCCCTGCTGCTGCAAAGGGATTGCCTCGGTGCACGTCCTGCCCCATGTGGCCAGTTCTTGGGGTTGGGTGCGGAGCTGCCCTCAACCACCGCAACGTCCCGTCACCCCAGCAGTGGTGCCTTGTCGACAGTTCTCACTGACCTTTCAGGATGTGCCTGGTCTGTCCCGTTGACCTCCACTCCTGGTTTCTCTACCTTGACGCAGGATATAACCAATAACTTTTGCTTCCGAGACACCTTATGGGTTTATTTCAACCCCGGAGCCCTTGCTGCTGGACCGAGCGCCCGGCGCTCCCGCTGAGGAATCTGAGGCATTCGCCCTCTTGTTTATCTTCTGCAAAAATCCAAAGGGATGCAAAGGGTTCAGAGCTATGCTTACCTAAGGCACAGGTACAGTATTACTGCAGCTTACCTAAGAGACTAAATTCTTAGCTGCTTGCTGTCGACTCTTGTTGGTGCCACACAGTTCCTTTCCATCAATAACAGATACCAGCAATCGCTTGGATTAATGAATCCTTAGCCCTCTAGAAAGGGAATTCTTTCCTGTGAGTGCTGTCACTACAGTTCAGGACCACAGTACAGCGTGTCGCATCAGCCCTTCCAGGGATGCTGAACCTTTTCATTCCTCTTGCTACAGAAAAGCACTTTTTAGAGATTTTCTCTTACTTGTCTGAGACGATTAATCTTTTTCTGAGGTTAGAGAAATTCCTTCTCATGAAAGAGCTAAGAGAGGTCAGCAAAAAGGAATCCTTAAAGATGGATGTGAGAGGCAGTTCCTCTTCATGACATTTCCTCTCACACAGAGACTGGAGGAAGGAAAACAGAATTTTTGTGTTCTAATGTTGTTTTTTCCACCTCAAGTGTACTAGTCCATAGCATCAGGTTGCAGCATTTCCCACCTTTGCACAGACAGGGAGCCAAAATCATCTCTATTTCTTCTTGGAAAAAAAAAAAAAAAAAAAAAACAATTGGAAATTGTGCCCAAACAGAGAGTAAAAGTCTTCACAGCAAGATATATATCTATTATATATCTTAGACTTTCATTCCGGATTTTTATTTTTCTAGTGCAAGATTAATTAGAGACAAAAAGAAACATTAAAATGCCTACAGTTCACATGTATTACATATTTTAAAATCCATTATTCTACCTCCTGCATTGAGGGATAAAAAGAAAATATTGTTGTCAATTATAGAATGCTAAAGATAGTTCTATACTTTTTAAATGAACAATGATAAAAGCCTTGAAAAATTCCCTTTGATGTGAATGGAGTCTTCAGCATTTTGAAATACAATAAGATGGATTAATTGCTACTCATTAGGCAGCAAGTTGGGACAGCTTTGAATGCGCATTCTCTTCTTGGCATTAGCTATTGCCTGGCTGAAATAGCCAGCTTTTGTATTTACTCCTGTCTTCTCTAATAATAAGCAAATTGGAGATCAGGGCTAGAAACACTGAAGTGCTCTCTATCTTTTGTCCAGAACAATTGTATATTTTCATGATTTGTTTATCTTTTTTGAGCTACAGCTAATTATTGCAAAGGTTATTTGAATCAATACAAGATCTGAGCAGAAATAACATCTGCAAAATTGCTTATTAGGAAACTATTTTGTGTTAGTGTTACTGTAATTTTGTGAGCAAATTGTTGTTTCCTCTCTTATGTCATGTTTTTTTTCCTTACAAGAAAAGTTTTATATTTGAAATATTGGTACAGGTTTTATGGTTTCTTGAATTAATATTGTATTCTGATGTACTTAATTTTCTCATAACATCTTAGGTCTTTTTTTTCCCCAAAGTCATAGATAATGTGGTATTCAAAGCCCCATTTACCATTCCAGGATAACAGTTTCTATTTTTTTGCTGTAGAACTAGTTTCAACTGATTGATTGAATTATTTTACTGTTTATGTTGAATTAAAAGAAACTCAAGCACAAATCTTTTTGTGCTTGGGATGTAGAAGTCTTGTTTCACATGGGGCTTTTATGGCTATTAAGATTTATAATTGGATGATACCGGGGAATTTTTTGTATCTAATTTAACTGTGTGTATTATATTCCAAAATTAATGGGCAAAAAAGTGAAACTCCAGGGCCTGATTCATTAAAAGTTACCTCCTTGCTTAGGTTCTTAGAGCTTGCCCTTTATGGGCACCACATGTTTGCTGCTGCGGTCCGAGACAGGCAGCTAAAACGTGGCAGAGCTGCCGGGCTGCGCTGCACTGGTGGCGTTGAGGAGATCCGGAGCAACTGGCCCTCCTGCCACCTTGCCAGCCTCCCGGTCCCGCTGCGCAGTGCCGCTGATCACCTTCCGAGGAACAGGAGACTTCCACAGGGAGGCAGGAAGATAGCAGTTCAAAAGGGAAGTCTATTACTTAGCACAGCATCATTCCTGGGCGGCAGCAGTCCCGTGAGAGCTCGTAAATCCAGGAGGGTCAAGGCAGGGCAGCGCCAGATGGGCCGTGTCCAGGGAATGGCTCCGGCTGCGGCAGGAGTTAATGGCGCGGCAGGAGATGCAGCTCGGCCAGGCCCCGCCGCACCTCACGCGGGTGCTGCGGCTCCGCCTGCTCGGGGCCACGTTTTTATTTTGCCTGCATGAGTATAAACCTCGCTGAGCTGGGAGGATTTATTCCAGATCTGCACAACAGCGTGAGCGAGTGAGTGCAAAAACACTCCCTTTACCTCCCTTGACCTCTTGGACAAGATAGGAAATCAAAGTCCTAACTATTTGCAGTCGTTAAAAATCCCACGACGTTCCTGTTTGGAGTGGGGCTGTTAACCCATTTGTCCTGGCCAAATTCCAACCTGGGTAATTACTGTAATCTGCCTGTTTAAATTACCCCTGCCGTTTTAATTGGATATATTACTTCTCTTGCTGCCGAACCTGTGATGTAATCCCATTGTGTGGTGCTAATCGGGGACCCAGCCGCATCCCAGAAGTGGCTCTGCTGCAGTGAGAGGTGGGAGCCTCATGCCCTCCTCGTCACATGCACTCTCCTCTAGAGCTTTAAAAATGGCATACATGCATATAAATATATATGTATACACATACATATATATATGTGTGTGTATAAGAGGCAGACAAGGTCATGTTTCAATATAAATAAACAGCTTTTAAGTGTACTTTCCCCATTTCTTTCTGGAGACTGGCAAGTCTGCCTGACCATACAAGCACAGGCCCCCACCTTGCAGCTCCCCAGAGCTTTCTTGGAGCTGAAAATCCTTTGTACCAATGGACCTCAAGACCCCTTACATATTTGTATTTGATTTCTTTTGTCTTTGAATGGGAAATTACAGTAATTTTGAAGAGAGGAAAAAAAAAAGAAAAGAAAAAGAAAAAAAGCACTGTTTTTCTGATTATGATTCCTGACCTGCAAAAGGTGGACCTTGCCCTGATGCCTGTGGCCAGAGCCTGCTAACGTGCAGTGGAGCTACAGATTTTTGACTTACTGGGAAATGTTATAGGAGTCCCTGAAATTCCTTGAGACTCTAGCCCAGTCACAAGGGCTGCAGCTGTGAGCTGCTGTCCTGTTTTTGCAGTCTCTCCATCCTCCTGGAAATGTCCGAGAGGATGAAAGGAATAGCCACCCAAAATGCAGGATATTCTGGGGCAAAAGACTGCTAATGGCACAAGGACACCCCTTCACATCTCCTGAAATGGAAGGCGTTACTTCCCTGCAGTCGTAGCTCCTGCAGTTGAGTAGTGTCAGGCTTCGTGTCCCTCCGTGGCAGGTGAGAGGCTGCGGCTCCAGGGGGCACACGGGACGTGTCAGCCTCGAGGCAGCTGCCAGCCCTGCTCGGGTCGTCGCTCAGGCCGCGCTTTACGTGGCGTGGCTGCTGCCCATAGCAGTTGAGTGTCTGCATGCCTAATCCTTGGGCAGGAGCAGCAGCCTCCAGAAAGTAGAGCCCCCTGCTTGTTCTAGATGCCCATTTAGGAGGAGATAAAGGCTCTCTTGGAGGATCAAGGCTCCACTGACAGTAGCGCCAGGTTAGATGTCTGCCTCAGGCCAGAGCCACCTACGCGGCTGAACCGAGGCGAGATGAAGCACCTCCTAGGCCTGTAGCTTGCCCTGGGCTCGAGTAGTTCCCAGGTACAGGCTGTCCTGTCCCTGGCAAAGACCCCAGGAGACTGCAGCTTGTCACGCACTGAGGTGGGTTTTCATTCTGCTGGCACCAGAAAGCAGCCAGTAGAGCCCCCCGTGCTGAGCCCTCCTGGCGCCTCCCGGCCTTGTCAGCCGCAGCGCTCTGTGCCGCTCTTCCCCGCTAAGCGGCCGGAGCTGCAAGGGCAGCCGCTACTCGGTAAAACAGCCGAGGTTCCTTCCCCCAAGTGCTGAATGCCAAATTCTCCCCATCGCGCACCGGGCACAGCGGCGCCGGGGAGGCTGCCGCGCAGACGAGTTGTCAGGTGAAGCAGGTAGTGCCCGGCCAGGCCGGGAAGCGCCTTGGATAGGCCGGGAAGCGCCTCCCTTTCCACCCCAGCAGCCCTGCTTTGGTGGGAGGCGGCAGCAGGTGCCGCGCGGGAGGCGCACGGTGCCCAGAGCCGCCGCAGCAGCAGCAGCTCCTCCCCTGCTCCACCTGGTGCCCTCGCGCCCCAGTGGGGCCGCTGCCACCCCGCGCTCCCCAGGGCCACGAGTCCCGTTTGGGCTCTGCGGCTTCCCGCGGGCAGGTGGGGGCTGCGTCCCCCCGGGCTTCACATTTTTTTCTTTCTTTTAATGAATCAGTCCCTGGGTGAAAATGATGCATTTGTTTAAACGGAATATTTAATGTTGAGCAAACTGCTCTTCCTTTGTTTCGTATTATTCTGTTCTTATTTTGCTAAAAATCTGCTATTCTACACCAGCATTTTAATAAACTGTTTGTTGTTGTATCCAGGTAACAAGCATGGTAAGTATTTTAACTAAACCAAGTATTATGTATCTTAGCTGTGCTTGGCAGAATTTTTGGCTAGCTTTTTTTCTGTACTTTCAGCCTGTGCTGTTTCTAAAGGAGCTATCCAAAGGAAGAACCTGCTCACCTATAGTACTACTACTCCATACAAGCTTTAGGGGGAGCATTTGTGCAGAGTCATATACCATATATAAGAGCATGCATCTCTTGCCAGCATGCTTGCTACTTTGCTTGCAAAGTAAAGCCAGAAAAACAGAAAAATCCTTGCCTAATACTGCTTGTGTTCCTTCATTCTAAGTCATGTAAGCTAAATATTAGCACTTAACTCATGCAGTACTGGAGACGAGGAACCCTCCTTGAGCAGATAGTAACTGTCTATTAGTTACTTCTTCCACCTGACCCTTAGGTAATTCAGTTGCATTGGAGACATTGCTTCCCTATTCTGTGATGATACGTGACTGGCAGTGACCAGGAGTTCACGTGCTCCCTTAGTGCAAGTAATCGATCAGAAACCCTCTTTTCTTAAACTGGTTCCTATGTGCTTGAAAACAGAGATTTTCTGGCTAATTGTTTTCTTTGGGAACACTGGAAATTGGTAAAGCACCACAATTGGAAATGTAAAATGTTATTTATATTTTTGTGGTACAACTTTTAAAATACCTGCTGAAAAGCAGAATTAGAAATCTTTCCAAGCTTGTGTCATGCTCACAAGTCGGCAGCCGTTCTGTGCTCCCAAGTGCGGTGTTAAAGTCAAACTTTCCCCAGCTCCGAGCAGTAGAGCCCCAGTGCCAGGGCTGCCCGTCCCGCAGGGATCCGCAGCAGACCGTTTTCAGGCGAGCCTGGCATAAAATCGGCAGAACTTGCCCATGTAAACAGTGGGCAGCAGTTTGCCCTCCCTGCAAGCAGGGAGAGCAGCCCGAGCGTCCAGGGCTGTCACGCACGTCCCAGAGGAGGTTTTGCCCTCAGGTAGCTTGAGTGTTAGCCTCCGTGCTGTATTTTTTCCTGCATGGTTTGCTATTTTTGCATTTTCTGTGTGGCTTTTTAAGTTTTTAGTTATGTGCTTGTAGCTGCAATTATTTAACATCATTTGTTGTGCCAAATGTTTTAAGACTCCATGTAATTGTCATATTAAAGGATCAGACAGCAAAGGACAAAGCACTCCAGCACATGGCAGCAATGTCATCAGCTCAGATAGTCTCAGCTACTGCTATTCACAACAAGTTGGGCCTGCCAGGAATTCCCCGTCCTACATTTCCTGGGGCACCTGGGGTAAGTTGTTAGCTGAGTCCCAAAAAAATCCCTATGTTTTCTAACCATGTTGAGTAGAAAACTAAGGCTGAGTGAATGGATTAATGCTTTTGTTTGTGTTTGCAAGAGGAATCGTGCTTGTTCAGAAATAGCCAAAATCTTTCAACAAAGAAAACAATTGTGGGTCTGTTTGTTTGTTTTTCTTCTTTCAGTTCTGGCCGGGCATGATCCAAACGGGGCAGCCTGGATCCTCACAAGAGTAAGTCTGAAAAATAAAACATCCTTCCCTATGCACTGTGGGGCTGGCGTGTGGAGTTTGCTGCCCGAGGATATCACTAGGCAAAAATCTATAAATCTTTCTAAAAATACGGAAAAGATAATTCTATGGTAAGAAAGGGTCCTTACAGCAAAGTGAACTGATAATCAGAAGTTAGCAGGGATTGCAGACCTCAGTCTGATGCTGAACATCTCATGGTAACCTGCTTTTTTCTCCCTGGCACGGGGCAGTGGTAGTGCCAGGGAAGCCCCTGGTTAGGTGTTGCCTGTGACTGAGTATCCAGGACAAACCCTTCCACCCAGTTCACGTATGTAAGTGACACTGGAGGAGAAGGGAGGTTTTCCTGCAGGACACAGCCCACTCGAGGCCTGTTGGTGTTTGGGGGGACACCAGCCCTTGGCACCTCCATGCCCACAGCACTGTGAGGATAGGAAGCCTGTGCCCTTCCTTCAGATGTTCTCAGCCCTGCAGTGGTTTCTGGCCTGTCTCCCTACCTATCTTTCCGGTTCTCCTTGCCTCATTCCCTTCAGGACAGCGGGAACCTTTGTGGCCCCACGGGTTGGTGATGTTGGGATAACAGGGAGTCAGGGCAGTCACCCTTGTGCAAAGCCAGGGGACCTGGCAGGGCTGCCTCGTACCTACCTGACCACTGCAGCGCTCCGGCCTCAGAGGTGGTGGGTGCAGCTCCCGTGCCCCGTTCTCTCTGTTACCTCTTTACTGCCTGACTTTGAAGTATGTAGTATGAGGAGGCAACATGTTTGTGGGGAAGGGACAATAACCATGTATTTTCTAATGCTGTGTGATGCTGGTGGAATCAATTGTGACGGATGTGGTGTATGATTTTTGTGTAACTATTTATTCCAGTGTAAAGCCATTCGTTCAGCAGGCCTATCCTATACAGCCATCAGTCACAGCTCCCATTTCAGGTAATTCAGCTGTTTGTGATCTCCTTTAAAAAGACTTGACGTGTGTACTGAATGTGATGTATTAATTCCTGAGATGGACAGAGCCACCTCTCTGTATCTAATGTCTCCAGCAGCCAACCCCAAACTTTTCCCTAGCAAACATCAATGTGCAAGTTCCTGATTATATATGAAGGAAAATCACTGGGTTTCCTTTTTAGTTTTAGGTAGGAACCACTAATATGTGTGCGAATAGTTGTGATATGTGATCTCCAGGCTCTGTTTCATATCATAGGAAAACAGCTGGTAGAAAACAAAATGAGTAGTAGGCTGCCTATTTGTATTTAATAGCTAAACCTTCTATCTCTAAAAAGAATAAGCATCAATTTATTCTAAATGGTGGCTGAAACTGTTTCAAAAGCATTTATGTTTAGTCTTCAGTATAAAATACCTTTGTGCATCTGGTGGTTGATAACTTTCCTCACCTGAAGGTTTCTGCTGTGCCCAGTACCACTTTGACAGATACCTGATGTTTATGCTGACTCTACTTGCCTTTTTCTTGGCTACTTCCTTTTCCCAACTTCATTTCCTTACTAATTTCAGAGAAATTCATTATTTCTTTGCAAGTGGCAAGCAGCAACTAACTTCACATCTCCCTCACCAAACTGCATCAGGGTTCTGCTTCTCCTTAACTTGCTGTTTTCTGGCTCTTACCTACTTTTTAACTGCCTGCTATTTTATGCTAAAACCAAGGCTATCTCTCTATATGCCCTATTTTTTCTTCTTTTGTTCTTGATCTTCCTAACATTGTTCTAGAGTCAGGCATCTTGATCATCTTCATCTTTTATTCTTCCACAGTTTCTTTCAAAATATGATTACTGGGTTTTCTAAAACAGTCAAAAAACATTTGTAAGTTTTGGGCTTATTGGAATTCCTATTCATATCAGACAGGCAAGTTTTGACTGTTGTGTTTCCCTGTTCCATACAAGCCTCAGACCTTCCTTGTCTAAATGTGGGGACTGGAGTCATGTACTGAGCTCCCATTATGAGATAAAAATAAATTCCTTTGACCTCTCACTGGGGCTCGGCCCAGTTCAGGATTATCTTGCTTATCTAACCCTACTTGTGCCTGCTTCTCTCCCAGGATGTGTCACTGCCTTCCAACTGCTGTCTCTTCTTCCTTTACTCTTTGCTTCTTTCTCATCTCATTTCCCACATTGAGGAGCAAGAGACAGTGTTTATTCTTTCTCTTGAGGTGAATTAGAGTTGGTGGTTAACATCCCTTCTCACTCTAGATCATGTCATTCCCTCTTTATTAGCAATTTAAAACCTTTTTTTTCCTCTCTTTAGAGTATGATTCAGCTCTCTGCAGTAATTATTTATTATTATCCGTAATACAGTGATGTCTAAAAGCTCCAAAAGAAGTCAAAGCCCCAATGTGCAAGTACATAGTAAGAGACAGTCCCTGCCTTGAAAAGCTTATACTCTAAATAGGAAAGAAGAATCAAGTGGCAGAAGAAGTAGGCAAAAGAGAGGTGATTTACTGTAACATGTGGCACATTAGCAGCCAGGAACGGAAGCCCGTGCTCTGCACTCCCACGGCAGTGATATCTTCTCTCTGTCTTGCTGCCTTTTTCCAAAAAAGGGTCAGCTGTAAGTCTGTGTGAAGTCTCTATAAATTTCTATAATACAGTATATAATATAAACAAACATTCTGCAGTCACTTAAAACATCAAGGAAGCAAAGAAATAGATCTTTTATTTGCACTGTTCTTAGCTCATCCAAATTCCTTCTGACTTGCCTGGGACCCTTCTTCTACGTATTACTTTGCATTTATGTTGTCCCATTTTAACTCATTCTGAATTTATAACTTGCTAAAACTAATATGAATGATCAAAGGCAACATGGGTGATTCATGATTGTATTTAATCTGGAAAATGTAGATGGAGAAATGATCAATTAGAATTATTTAATGCCTTCTGTTTTAGGATTTGAGCCCACGTCAGCTCCAGCTCCCTCAGTGCCTGCCTGGCAGGGTCGATCAATTGGCACAACCAAGCTCAGACTGGTGGAGTTTTCAGCTTTCCTCGAACAGCAGCGGGATCCCGAATCAGTAAGTGCTGCCCTTCATGTCCACAATTTTGTTGTTCTCATTGCTCCCCACTCTCTGAGTACACTTCCCGGTTTAAATTAGGATTGAGTACAGGGGGTATTTCTGTGTTCACTACTGCTCAGTGTAATTTTCTTCCTTCCGCGCGCTGCCTTTCCCCCTGGCTGCAGGGAGAGGCAGCGGTGCTGGCCTCTCGAAAGCAAGCACGGCTCGCGCTGCCACGTCCCTCCCTGTTGACCTAGTTTAGCAGTGGTACCAAAGTGCATCGTATTTTTTCACAGTAGTTCAATTAAGTACTTTTAGTTAAAACTTAATTTATTTCATAACAGAATCAGAAGAAACAGACAGCATAAAAATATTTGTGTTCTTGGACAGTATTATAACCTTTGACCGTTAGTAGTTTATCCTGTAGGTAGTTTGCCTACCTTTAGAGAGTTCATTTTGGTTTATGCCATTATGAACCATTTCTCTGTATCCTTTATTTTTTTCTTTTTCTTTTTTTTTTTTCCTTTCTTTTTTTCTTTTCATGGTGGTAGGGAAGGATACAAACAATTAAACAAATATGTCTTTTGAGCATAGCCCACCACTTAACAAATATCATTATAAATTGAATGAGTTGTGGTTACTTACCTGAATGTTGAATCACTGACTCTTCCAATCCAGGGTTTGAATTTGGGGCATTTTTCGAGGTGAATTTTGATTCTTGTTTTTTTTTCAGTACAGATATTTGTACCTTCAGGTGAGCTTATGAAGTTGGCTGCAATATTTTATTTACTCCACTTAGTCTTGAACTTTGATATTAATCATTGTGTATTTACCGTGGACATATGTTAGCAGCCTAGTACTGCTTCTACTGTGTCACAAAAAATCAAAAAAGCTCCTTGCAGTTCCAGCATGAGAATTTTTATTGAGATAATTTCAGGAAAGCAAATACTGTTATGAATGGATAACACAGCCAGGCCATTCTTGTTCATATTTCTGGTAAAATGCAGTAGCTTGGAGCAGAAAAAAGCTGTCACATGCCATTTATAATTCAGTATTGGGAACCATAGTATTTACAGGCTCTGGCCAGGGGTGTTATCCAGGGAGTGTTTACCCTGCGTAATGGAGATCAGAGACCCAGCCCAGAAGCCTTGCAACAGAGGAATCCTCCTGGCAGAGAAACACCTCGGTGAAAATATAGGATATCTCAGCTATTCACATACTAAATATGTGGCCAGTGTTGGGTGGCTAAATGCCGCACGTTGCCAGGTGGAATTAACTCGGAGGGAAAGGTGGCTGGCAGCAATCAACTCACTAATTACCCGGCTTTCGCTGCTGTACGGGCTCCCGCAGCCCCGTCACGCTGGCCACACATCTCCAGAGCCTCCCTTCGAACCGGGGCTCAGGCAGGACCTCCTGGAGCCGCCTGCCTCCACAGTCAGCTCCCAGCGGGGGGACTTTCTTGAAGGTCAGTGCTCCTACTCCCATGACGTGCTTATTCCAGGGGTTTCCTCGTGTCCCCTGATGTGCCAGAGCTGCCGTATGCAGGGAGTACCCATGCAAGGACTAGAGCTGCAGTGGGACGAGGGCCTCTGCACTGTCCCTGGCCCTTGGTGCAGACGTCTTGCACTCGGCATGCAGAAATTTCTGTCGCTTACACACTGTGCATGGCTCTTGCATGCGTTTCCCCGCCACGTGGTTAGCCAGGACCTAACCACACGTGCCGCCAGCAGGCAGTGTGCGAAGGACAGCCCTTCCCAGTGCCCGGGCCGTGCAGCTGCCTGCAGGACGGAGCAGGTCTGCAGCACAGCTGGAACAAAACGACTGAAGATGCTGCTTTGGCCGGCAAGGACGGCCGAGGACCCCGGCGCTGGCGTGTGGTGCCGCGGCCCGAGGCTGCCGCGCTCAGAGGTGACGCGCGTTGGGCCCCAGGCTCCATGGCCTTGTCGGGGCTCTCACTTTCCGTGTGGTGCCAACTCTGTGGGGAATGTGACGCATCCACTTGTGCTGCAGACAAGAGAGCTGCAGAGAAACAGGGTGCCTGGGCAGCTGGGGAACTGCTGCAAAGCGTTTTTTGGAATAAAGTAGTATTTTCTGGAATTCCTCGGGTGCACAGGGAGGCTCACAGGAGCTTGCCCTAGTTTGCAGGTGTGCTGCTGGAAAACCCGCCTTTCGAGTGCACTGTGTTTATGCTGGAGGTTTGCTAGAGGAGCAGGAGTGTGAATTACCCAGGCATATATTGTGGAACTTGGTGACTTGCATGCTGGAATGCTGCGAAAAAAAAGGCACAAAGCAAAGCAAATTCCCCTTCATGGGGGAAATGGTATAGATGGTGTTCTGGGGTTTTTGTTTATTAGTTTTTTTAATTCCTTTTTAAATACCAAAATCAGCAAGCAAGACTTGATGAGTGTTCTGGTGCGTATTAAGTCCTGTACACAGGTACTGTGCTTGCAACTTACTGTTCTCCTTTGTGCCTTTGCTGACCTTATCCATGAATATACATAGGAGCTTCCAAATAAGAATCTTGTAAGAGCTTGCACATACCTTTCGCAAAAGACATATATGTTCATGACACTTGTCACAGAGAAAGTCACAAGTATCATTTTGATTAAATGCATTTCCAACGTCTATTTTAAAAAAGACAATTCTCTCCCCCTTCCCTGCCACAAAAACCCAAACCAGACCAGAAAGGCTGCTGGGAGTGGGGCAGATAAAGCAGCAGCCTTCAAAGGCAGGTGGCAGCTCACTGAGAAAGGCTTCCTGAGCCCGGGCCAGGCCGCTTGCTCCCGCCGCTCCTGCGCAGCGACCGCAACAGGGGCCGCTGCCCGAGCTGCCTCCCGCAGAGGGGTCCCCGTGGGATGGGGCATCGAGCCCTGCTGGGCGTCTTCCAGGGGCCACGGGTGCTCGGGAGCACAAAAACCCCTCAATGCCAGGCACTTACGTTCATTCAGAGTGGGCATTCCGGTGGGTTGGAAATGCACGCTGCGCCACAGAGCCTCTCACTTGCTGAGGCTGCTGACTTCGTCTCCCTCGCCTAGCCACAGCATTGTGCCATTTACAGAGTGAAAGGAAGGGCACAACAAGCCGGCCTCACGCTACCTGTGTGGCAGGAGGTAGGCTGCAAGATGTAAGATGCCATGGCCATTTGTAACATCTTGCAAAAGAGATTCTGTAATTAAGGGTGAGCAAAATTTCTCCTTGTTTTATGTGAAAATCAAAGCCATTTACCAGCATCAGGTACTGTATTCTTCAGAGGGCACTTTGTGCTCAGATTCAGCTTCTGAATGGTGCACAGAGCTGCCCTCGTACGCCCGGGCACCTGGGCGCTTCCCACTTGCCTTTAATTCCTGCCATCCCTGTGTATTCTGACTACATTAACAAATTTATTTACCCATCACCTGCTTTCAAGAGAGGATTTATTTAACGGAGAGCTTTCTGTTTGCACCGTGGTGACTCTGTGGCCATTCAGGGCCAATACTGAAACCAAATAATCCTGTGTTCCCCAACAAATGTAAACTCCCTGAGTGCGCAAGCAGGTTAGAAGAGATCCAAATGACTGTGTGCCAAATGGCTACAAAATTTGAAGGCTCTAACATTGAAATGATCATAATTCCAAGTTCTCTTAAATATAGTGAAGCCTGCTTTCCAGGAAGGAAAAAGTACCACTGCCCAACACCAACAAAAACACCCTTTTTGCTGTCCCTCTTCAAGCTTTCTCACTGTTGCTGCTGCATTCATTTCTACAGCAAGCTTCTCAGGCAGCTTTACAGCTAAAACGACCCAGAAGAATAAAGAAGGTGCCTGATAAGCATTTTTGGTATTAACCCACCTGTCAGAGTGTGTTAGATCTAAATTTCAAAATACATTTTAAAAAAGTGGGAAAAAAATATTCTTTATGTTTTATTTCAGGTTTTACTGATGCTCTAAAAGGGCTTTGTGAGCCCAGGGAGAATTGTGCCTGGGAACCAGAAAGCGAAAGCAATTGTAAAAGGGCCATAAAAACAGCCCGCCATCATTAGGCAACTGCTGTAAAATTCACCAAAGTTAATCAAGGCACCTAAGTGATGAAAAATAAATGAGATCTTCTCAAATAGGCACCTCCCTGGCCAGCTTGCAGTGCTGGAGGCATTGCTCAGCTTCCCGCGGCCCTGCAAGGAGGGTGCGAGGTGGCTCAGCGTTTTAGTCTCAGAGTCCTCAAATAGTCTCTAAGTGGCATCTCGGTTGCGTGGAAAGGGGAAGTAACACCCGCTTTGGGCAGCTCTGTCTTGGAGGGTCCAACTTGGGAGTTTTAGGAAATTCCAAACTAAAAGGAGGCCGAGTTTAGCCAAACCAAAGGTCATTTTTTTGCAGTGCTGAGGGCACCGGGCACTGCGTGCTGCACTGGGTGAAAAGCTGCCCTGTAATGCCTCTGGTCAGAGGTGCCCCGAGCTCCTGGGGCTGCCCTGAGCCCGGCCGGGCACCGCTGCTTCCCTGAGGCCCCGGCTGGGTGCAGGAGCCAGGGCTACATCTTGACCCCGGCCGAGCGCGGGCAGCAGCCGCCTGCATCCCGCTGCTTGCGCTCGCTGCCCCGTCATGCGCGCCTGCCCGCTCCCTTTGCTCCGGATCCATCACTGCTGTTGAAGACCCTCCCCACAAAAAAAAAAAGGGCTAGTTTTGTGCCACCAAACAGAAACGCGAGGGCCGAGTGGTGCCGTCAGCTCCCTCTGCCGGCCCCGGCAGGCCCGGCTCTCCCTCGGGCTCTGGGGCTGGCGCGGTGCTGCGGGGCCTGCCCGGGACTCTGCCCCGTTTCGCTGCCCTCCCTGCCCCTTCCTGCCGCTAGCCGTGCCCGGGCCGCCTGCGCGCGCTGCCGAGCGGCGCTTGCCCGGGTTGCGGGAGCCTCGCGTGTCTGCGCTGTGGTGCCAGCCTCTGCTGCCTGCCCGCACGGCTCTTTGCTCCTGCTTCATGCAGTGCGTGGAGATGGCCCTTGATTGATGGGCAGCTACTGAGTAGTTTGTTTCCTTGTGCTGCTGAAACGTGTGGCCCCGTGCCCTGTTTACGGTGCACTGTCTAAACTCTCCTCCAAACACAATTATTAATTTCCTCCACTTGCATTTCACAGATGTGTTAATGCAGTCATTTCTTCAATGAAAGGACATTATTATTCACATTCTACTAAGAAATTCAGGTGCAAAGAAATGAATGGGCCATTGATTTTGAGGGTCCCCCTCGGGTTGTCACAAGCTTGATTTTTCAAAATACTTAGCATTTTTGAGAGCTTCATACACTCAAGCATAATTTTCCCATCTGAGCATGGAGCCTTCTGGATGTGGGACCCAAGGTCTCAAACCAGGCGTAGTTGAAGGACACGTCATCACACCGCAGGCCGTGCCAATGGCAATGGTGCCAGTCCCCAATAGTGGGGACACCTGTGGCAGCGGCTGGGATGCACCAGGCAGGACGGGGCTGCTGGGCTGGGGCTGCCGCATCCCGCGCGCAGCTCCCGCTCCAGCGGCGCCGGCCTCCAGCCTGGGCAGCTGGGGAGAGAAGGAGGCGCAGGCGAAGCTGCCCTGCCTGCACTTCCCTGCCTGGGCACTCCTGGGCAGGGGACGAATGGGCAGCGGGCCCTGACAAACCAGGGACTCTGCAGCCGTGTGGCAACAGCATGCACAGGAAAGTGGAGTTAGCGTTGCACGGGGAAGCCTTGAACAGCCTTAGCAGCAGGAATTGGTGCGGACGCTAGCGACAGCATTAGCATGTTAAGCTCCTGATCTGTTTCAGCGGAGGGCAAGAGCAAGCGGCATGAAGAATTTACTTGCTGGTATTTTGGTAGAAATAAGAGAAATCGTTGGCAGAGCAGGTTATTCTTGAACATCGACAGGAAATTGAAGAGTGTGAGCAGAGTAATATATGACGAGCCTGCACGCTGCGGCTGGGCAGCAGCACCCAGGCAGCCGGTACCTCAGCGGCTGCTTCCTACTCAGGGCACCCCATTCGGTTCGTCTCTCCCGCGGCAGCGCGGTCCCTGCCTTAGCACTGTAAAGCGCTGCGCTGGGCAGCGCGCGGAGCTGCGCTGGGCATGGCGGGCGCCCGCTCCCTGGGGCCCGGCCGCGCGCGGCGGCGCTGCGGGGCGCCCCGGGCCGCGGGCAGCCCTGCGGAGCCGCAGGCAGACGGGCAGCGGGCAGCCCTGCGGCCCCTCGCTGCGGCTGCCGGCCGTGGGGAGCGCCTCCGGAGCCAGATGCTGCCGGGCAGAGCAAATGCAGGTGATTTGTCTTTGTTCCGCTCCCGCCTCGATGCTAGCATCCCCTGCCACTGGCAATTTGTCTTGGTTCCTTTAAATTCCTAAGTGGATTATAATTTTTCTCGTGGTACTATTTGACAACAGTCATTTTTCATGGCTTTAGTGCATTCTTCAGATAGTTAGAATTTTTTTAAGGAAAGGAGCTCAGTAAGAGGCAGCTCTCTCCAGGGCATGTCACATAGATGCAGATGCAGAAGACAAAGTAGCTGAGAATGTTCTGTGTGCTTTTTAATGTGTTTTTTATCCTGAGAAAATACAGGAATTGACCTATGGTGATTTACAGCATCTAATGCATGTTATTGCCCTCATGCCAGATGCAAATCCCCTAAATACTGTGGCATGAGTAAATTCTTCAGTGCCTAATGTCCCTCAGTGACTCTGGAATACTCACCCTAGAGTTACAGTGAATTCTGACTGTAATGAGGAGGTTTTTAAGCTTTGCAGGCAATAATGAGCTAAAATATACAGGCACACACAGCTTTATTGCCTTTATCTGTACACACAGTTTTGTCTTGAAGTGTGTTTATATAAACTAAGAGGAACATTTCTGTATCAATTTATCCATCTCCTAATATTTATTACATTATCATTTATTAGCTTGTAGAAATATGATGTATCTAATTAGATTAGTAATGATTCTACTTAGGATAGGAATTACAGCACATAAGGAGAAAATAATGACACGTCACAATATCAAAATAAACATTTCAGTCCAAAGAATGTTGTCAGGTGATGTCACACCATCTGTCCTACTGTACCCTGTTGGAAATTCTGCTGCAGCAGCATCTGGTGCTTTGGCAAGCTCTGCAGACAACTGTAGTAGCTCTGCAGCTGCCTTTGCTTTTATATTTAAGCAGCATAAAGACTTCCTGATTTGCTCCATGCTCCTTAAACATGATTGCTTTAACTGTTGAGTTCTGAGCAATATGTGCATTTTCCTGGTTTGCAAAATAAGGTGCAATGTGTGAATTTGCCTTGGGAATTTGCACTCATCAGGTTCTTAAAATGAAACTCTTCCTCCTCTTCTCTCTGGAGTGACCTCTGGGCCCAGCAGAGAGACCCCTTTGAAGGGAGGACGTTTCTTGGGTTTAGGAGAACTGGAGATCTCAGTTCTCTTCCAATAAAAATGTGGTTATTTGTGCGACCTGGAACAATTCCATCAGGAAAGAATGAGGGAAAAGAGTCCCAGAATAAATAATAACCCAGTAGCTAATAGGGAGATGTTTGCTCTGACATGGAAAGCACAGAGCGCTGCTTTGGAGCATCGCAGGACTCTGGGGACAGCACAACTGCTGCGCCCTTCACACCAGGATATGGGAGTGCTGGGCAAGGAAAATGTTTCACTTCAGTTTTTCACACTTTAATTTTAAGTGCTTATATCCACGAGGGGAATTCTCATCGTTCTCCTTGATAAATAGAGATGTCTTCAGCCTCGTGGGTGACTGCGGACATGCACCCGGCCCCTCGCTCCCGGTGCGCTGCGAGGCGCGGCACGAGGCTATCTGGGAATTGCGCTCTCGGCCTCCCAGCACTTCCTAGGAAGCTGGGGAGCCTCTGCCCTTCCCTTTGAGGGGGTTTCCAGAAGGCTCCGGAAAAACTGTAACTCCCACATTCAGCATGTACGTGCTCATGTATTATAAGAATTGAGCTTAAGACTTGTTTGTGCAGACTCCGTATCAAAGTGTAAAACTCTCCTCCTTTCAGAAGAATTAAACAAAAGTCAGGAATAGACAACATAAACTCATTTCTGGCCACGTACTCAGATGAATGTTCTCTGATCCTAAATATAGATTCCACTGCACTAGATGATTTCAAATAGATTTCAATTTAATCTCCTAAGCAGAGAAATCCAGCCAGTCCATTTTCTTTTCCCCAGAGTTTTAGACATCTGCTCGGGAAGACTCCATTTACACCGAAGGAAGGCTCTGAGTGGATGTCCAATTAATTTACATTTGTCATTTCAATTTGTTCATTCTGCAGGTATATTGTAAACAAAATAGCTTAAATGAGGTCTGCTTTGGGGTTTTAAATATTTTATTTAAGCTTACCAGTTGGGAATTGTCCTTCCTGTGCAGCATCTGTTCAATAGGACTGGGTTTTCTGTGTTCACTGACTGCCTATCACTTTTCCTTTAATTGAGATAGCAAAATGTTTTGTGAGCTGCATAGCTAAAAGCCCGAGCGTTCAGGCCCGCCGCTGCCAAGCTCCTGGTGTCTGCGCCCGTGGTGCTGCGGGCTGCGGCGTGGCTGGCGCGAGCGCTCTGCCCTCCGCCCTCGCCTGGAAATTGCAGGTGCTGAAAGGTGCTCTTGTCTCGGAGAAATGGCAGCCCATAAAAGACCATATTGAAGCCAGTTGGGGGCTGCCATGGACCTCCCTGGGCCTTGGATTGCACCCCAGAAAGGAAAGGGATTGCTTAGGTGATTGCAGTGCTTGTAATTAGGTGTGACGGGATGAAGTTAAGAAATAAGGAAACTGAAGCTGAGCACGTTTTGGCAGAGATGCTCATCAATGAAACTGCCTCCCCAGGGAAGTGGTAAAAATGTGTTTCTTTAATATTGCATGGGTTGAAGCATTGGAGGACACATAGTAAGGAGCAGCAACACAGTGTAACTGAATTCCAGCTATTGCAGTTCCAGGGATTAAGGGGAACTCCATTCCATCTCTCGGAGTTAAGTGGCATTAGCGTATGCGAGACAGTGTTTGGTTCTTTTAAATGGCGACTGCAGGGCACGGGGTCTTGGGCAACAGCAGAAATTCAGGCTCTGGCGATAAGGCACATTTAAAGGCATGGTTTAGAGAGGCAGAAATCGGCTTTCCTCTTGACCATATTGATCTTATTATGTTCTGCGAAGGGCTTTTCATCACCTCCCTGCCACTGGGTCTCTGAGTGTAAATTACTGCCTTGAAGCTGACCGTGTTTTGTGGCTTGCAGTGGGAACTCCGGCTTCATGACGCTGACCCTTGCTCACTGGGGGCGATGCCACAATCACTGAAGTTGTTTGTGGAAATGGTGCTCGGTCCCTGGAGTAACGTGCGACTCGCTTAACCCGTGAAAGCTGCTTCCGCAGCTGCAACCTCGGCGAGCGGCTGCTCTTTCTGCCCAGCTCTCATTTTCCTGTTTGTTGTCTGTTTTTCCCTTGCAGTACAATAAGCACCTCTTCGTACACATTGGACACGCGAACCATTCTTACAGTGACCCATTGCTCGAGTCGGTGGACATTCGCCAGATTTACGACAAGTTTCCTGAAAAGAAGGGCGGGCTAAAGGAATTGTTTGGAAAGGGGCCGCAAAACGCTTTCTTCCTCGTGAAATTTTGGGTAAGTACAGCGTGAGATGTAGCAATTCTTGCCGGTAGGGCCCATGCTTCGCCTTTGGCAGCCTGCAGTGCACTCCCGGATGTTCTCTTGTGTCGCGTAGAAGAGCGAAGCTGCCGGTGCTCCCGTGAGCGCAGAGCCAGGGCCGCAGCAGGGCAGGGCGGGCGCGGGTGGGCGCCCGCAGGTGAGGCGGGCGCCTGTTGGGAGAGGCTGAGCTGCCATCTAGCGGCCTGGGGCGAAGCGGGAAGCCCTTCCGCCGCGCAGAGCTTGCAAGTATTTGGTGTTTCAAATGTTGGCCCATTGATGAAGGCAAATACTACAAATATCGCCGCTGACATCAGCCCACGCTGCACAGCAGGTCCCAAGCTGTGTTTGAACCCCATGGCCTGCAGCAGCATTGTGAGCTTGGGAGCATTCCAGGGCTTTGCCTGACGGTTTGGGTTGCTGGGATGCATCTGCTTTCCTCTTGCCGCCTTGGGAGCCAGCTAAGTGACTGAGTTTCCAAAGTAAAACCTGCTCATATGAGTTGTGGAGAAAAAGGTCGAGTGGAAGGCTGAGATGTTGAAAAATAGGCTGGTCTAGTTTGGATGCATTTCATTAATACACCTGATCTCCGTGGTAGCATTTACAAAACCCCACATTGATGATACTGTAGGTTCATCCAAAAGGCTCGTCAGATCTCTTGGATAGACCTTATGCCCATAGTGATGCTTTTCTACATGTGCACTTGGGGTTTTTTGCTCTGTTCATTTTCATCGCAACAGTTATCATCTGATCATTTAAAATGCTTTTCCAATGCTTGTCTTTCAAAGCCACATCAAAACAAGCATATTCAGGATCTAAGCACAGAAAAGGTTGGTCTGGAGTCACTGCTTATTATTAGGTTCTCTGGTTGTCATTTTCAATCAAAGCTGACCACCTTGGCCTGAAATACTCCTGTATCTTATACCTGTTCCAGGCTTCCTGTCCTACCAAAATAATTCTTTGGCACCAGATTTGGGAATAGAGAATGAAGGAGAGGTGTAAGTGTGTGTTTAGAAGGGATGAACCCTGAGCAGAAGCAGTGCTAGACTGCAGAAGAAATCCACTGGAAAATTCCTAAGGCTTAAACTAGGAATGGGAGTTGTAGACCAAACGCATGAGGATTGACTGACCTGATGCCAGGAACAGGAGGTAGCACAGAACTGCAAACAGAAGGCAGATAGGAACAGAAAGAGAGAGAGAGAGGGCGAGTTTGGGATAAGGGGCCTGTGCGGGTACAAGACACACAGTAGAGAGTACGTAGAGGTGGGAACAGGACAAGCACAAGGGCAGGAGGAATCCAGCTGTGGAGGAACATGGCTTAGAGGTCAGGTCTGCGACCACTACGTCAGTTTCCTTGCAGAACTCAGGCTTGGGCTCACAGCCCTCAGCTCAGCAGCACGCTGAGGAGCAGGTATCTGTGAAAGGCACTAGCAAGAAGAACACGCTTTACCCGCTTGCTCCGAGCTCACACCGAGAACGACAGGCGGTGACAAGCCCCAGGCTTTGTCCTGGCCCACGCAGCAGCAGCAGAGATTCGTGCCATGGTCACTGACGTATGAGCGTGTTCTGCGTCTCCTGCGTGTGGAAGCTGATTTTCAGATATGCTGGGTTCCCAGAGATGTATCTAAAGCCAGTAGAGATCTCTGGAACATTAAGGTCTGTGTCATAGTCATGACATTGAAAACTTAATTACCAGACTTCTCTGATTATCACCTACAAGCAGTGAACACCTTTAATCCTCTCCTCAGTTCCCCATCTGTAACATGGATGGGTATGATAACCACCCACCTCTGGTGGTCATTGAGAAAACAAACTTAATGACATTGGTAAAAAGGGAAGATAATGCCCTGAAGAAAACATTTGTAAAAATAGCAGTTCTGTGTTCAGTGGGTTTTAAGCAGCATGCAGGAAATAAGGGCTGTACCACACTGATGAAGATAAAGAGAAAAACTGAATAGATGCTCAGTGGGTGAGTGTGCAGTCATGTAACTAACAACTCATCATGCAGCTCCACAGTCAGGATGCAGTTAAGTGTAAGCAACTTAAATCCAGCGGTTCCTAACTTCACTGGGCCTTGCAGACTTAATGGTCTTTTAATTCAATTTTGGGTCTGCAGTAACTGAGCCATTGAAGCACATACAGTGCTAACACCCTTCTGAATTAGGCATTAAAAACGTGGTGCACAGGCCTTCCTGAGCCAGGGCCCTGAGTGGGCCAGTGGGTTTTCCCTCTCATAGCTGCAGCAAAGGCTCCAAAGAGGGAGGGAGGAGCACAGGGCAGCGCTGCCCACGTGAGAAGCGTCGTGATGAACGTGCCTCCAAGAACAAACGTTGCACCAGGGCCTCCCAGGTAGAAATATATAGAAGAAAAACAGAAGATGGCTGCATCATGAGAGTTAGATCCTAAACTGTCAACTCCCTGTCCTTTGCTTAATATCTTTTACACTAATAGGATATTTCTTCAGAGAGAGGGAAAATGAAAAAGGCACTTTTGTCATTTTTATGGAGAATCTTTAGAAATTATTCTAAAGCAGTCATATTTTACCAGGGTAAAACTGGCAACGATTATTGACTCCTTTTTGACCTCTCTGGGAACACTGGGGTTATTAGTGAGAGCAGATAGAGCAGATCTTTTGCAGTCTTGGGCTTTTATTTTAAATTCAGTATCTGCTTCGAATCAGTATCCATTCTCCATCTCCACCCACTCTAAAAGCACACAACTTTTCCCACGTTCTGTCCATGTAGTATGATTCTTGCTAATTTGCAACACTCTCACCCTTTATTTAGCTCTTCACATTGCCCATTGTTTCTGTTGCCTCTACTTTACCTTCTGCATTACAATGTAACTCCCAAGAGTTTCCCCAGTGCCGCAACCTACTGAGCATCACTGAGCAGCTACTAGTGAGCTGAGTCCAAGCTTTGGTGTAACGTGATTGTAACATAAGTAAAAGAGAAATAGGATTTTGTGTTGGTCAAAGTAGTACCGGTTGGAAAGCACTGCAAGGGGAATCAAGAGAAGGAAACTCGGGGCTCAGAACGAGAGGTTTAGAGGGAAACCACAGAACTGCAGCAGAAAACAGCAGAAACACAGGCAGGTGCTGCGGCATGTGGCACCCTGAAAGTGAAGGTGAAGGGTTTGATGCCAGAAGTGATGACAAGCCTGTAAAAGGATCTGAAGTTGGCACCTCCCTGTAGGTGGCAAAAAGCAGATTTCATTTAGTCACTAAATCTAGTGCTAAAAGGAAGGATGGGGAGCGGGAAGCCCAGAGAGGCAGATTTACGCTGAGAATGACCCAAAGCAGAAAGCAGCTTAGCTCTGGTAGCTGGAGGGAATGTTCCTGTCTCTTTCCCATTTAGTTTCACCTGAGGCTTCTCAGCAGAATTACTTCCTTTTGGTTGTCCCTGTGATAATGGTTATAAGATGTGATTACAAAAGAAGGGAGAGGACAGGGCTGAAATGTTGCAAGGAGACATCTGGCAATTGCGGCACTTGCAAAGCATTACAGGTATTGAGTACAAAGCAGTGCCTTGTTTTGCTTTGTGGAGGTTTATTGGTTCATATGGATTTTATCTCCTGTGAAATACTGCCTGTTGCTGTGAATAGATGAGCTCCTGGCCTCAATCCTGGTGACACGTCTGCATGTCACACTTCCCAGCCTCTTCCTACCTGTCTGTGCAGGAGGTGCAAAAGAAAAAGCCTCTCTGCCACTGCTGTAGATGCATTTGACTCTGGCAAGGTAACTGCTCCAGGAAGGCAAAATTATGACCCTATCTCCTTTTTATAGCCCTGCTGTCTTTGCCATTTTTATAACTTACCCCTTTCTAGTACAGGTTAATCTAGCAACCAATTTTTCCTATAATCGCCTCCAACATTAATTGATCAGTGCATATATGGCCCTAACACAGCCCAGAGCAAGTTCTTCCATGTTTTGCCACGAGCTTTGGCTGTGACTGCTGGGACAGGGCTTCTCTTCTTGGCAGCCTTTGCGTAGCGCCCTGTGCTCGCGCGCACAGGGGCTCCCAGCCTCTGGTGGGATGCTCAGCACAGGCGGCACGGAGCTGTCAATAATTCGGCTCTATATTATGTATATTATGTATATTATGTATATTATGTATATTATAGGTATGTATATATGTATATTATGTACCCAGCACTTAGAAAAGCTCTGCAAGAGCCGAGTGTGAACTCTGGCTTCTGCTGCTGCAGGAACAGGCCTGGGAAGCAAATGCATCTGAAAGGAGGATACATCTTTTCTAACTAGTGACACAGGAAGAAAACAGTTGAAATAAGCTAATACTGGGCTTTTCTACTGATCGATCCACTGGCTTAATGTTAAATGTTTGCAATGGCTTGAAATGTCCTTCAGGCTGTTGGAAGCTTAGTCGGAGCTCGGTGCAACTCTGAAACAGAGACCAAAACTTATCTGAAGATGTGTGAATGATATTAATTGATGTTTAAAATTAATGCCTCCATTTGCAGGAATCTGCAATGCAAACTAGGAGTTTTAGAAAGTAATGCATATTATAATTAGAGCAAGCATTTAAAGATGCTTTGAAGTCCTAAACATTTTTGAAATTCAAATGTGGAGTAGAAATAAAGGAATCTACACAATAAAGGGACATTAAATTATGTCCCCCAAAATTTCACTGTTTTATAGATGTAAATATATGCCATAATTAGTGGTAAGTAACATGAGGAGGATGGTTACGTTTATTCCTATTCTTATTCAAAACATCTGTGGCATGAAAAATAATTCTCCTTCTCTTTGTGATACACTGGAACAAACAATTTACCCTTGTAATCAGTGCTCAGCAATGGCTTGTGCCTCGGGTCTGCTCCCACCCCCTCTGCATTTATCCCCACGTGCCTCGAGCAGTCTTAAAAGGTGCAGCCACTCGTTGTGCCCTTCAGTCACGCACACGCACAACTGCCTGCTGCCCCGGCCCTTGCATGTGTAACTTACACTGCCCAGTATAGAAGCTCGGGTTTCACACACGCACACACACGCACACACACGCACACCCTTGCCAGCTTTGACTGGGAAATGAGCCGCAATTCGCCAGCGGGCTCTGCAGCGTGCACGGCGCTCTGGCCAGCATGCAAATGTATGCAAAACAAATTAGATCTGGACAAAAGCAGCCCCCCGTGTTGCTGCGCGCACGGGGGCTCGCGCGGCCCAGGCCGCGGCCGGTGCTGCAGAATGGCTAATGAGCGGCGCGGAGCAGCTGGGCGGCAGAGCGGCTTGGCCTGTCCATCACGGGCCCAACCATGTGGCAGCCCTGGAAGCAATTCCAAAGCTGCAGCGTAACCATCAGTGTGCTGTGCCAAGGATCCAGATGCTCCCGTTGGAAAAAATTGCTTCACAATTTGGAATCTCTGTTCTTTGGTCACCCTTGCAGAGGAGGAGGGGAGGCCCGATGTGGTCGCATGAGTAACACACCTCCCCGCAGTCAGCAGCAGTTAAAACCTGCATGTTGTTAACAAATGACCTTACGTGCTTACTGTTAATTACTGCGTGCTAGTGTAAATTGCCCTGGCCCTCGCAAACCCTGCACGCTCCCCAGAGTTGCTGCTTCCCCTCCGAGCAGCAGGCAGAATCGAGGCCCTTCTTAGCAGGCTGTGCTCGTGTTGCTCGTTGGGTCAGCGGACAGCGCCACAACCCTGCAGCCCCTGCGTGTCCTGCTGCCCCAGCGCGCGGTGCCCTGCGCCGCGTGGTGCCCTGCGCCTCGCGCTGCCGCGGGGCTGCTCCGTGCACCACGTCCAGCGCTTCATATTGCTATTCATTTGCAGGGCTACACACTGACAAGCTTTGCCGTATTAATGAATTAATCACTGGAGAAAGGGTGCCAGAAAGCTGAGTGGCTCTCCCTCTTCCAAAAGTACTCAGCTTATAAACTTCCGCTCTCAGAAATAAATCAAGGCTAGAGTTTTACTTCTGAAATCCCTCCCAACATGTAAAAAAAGAATTCCATTTATGTTTTACAGGTTTGGGGTTCTTTTCCTAGATTATACTAATCTTACATTTTAAAATTCAGCGAGCAAATGGACTGCTGCTGATGAAACATGATGATGCCATCATCTGAGTGGTTATTTATCTGTATGTGCTACCCCAGTGCCTACTCCTCCTGGCCCTGTGGGTCACTGCAGTAGCACTAGAGGCTGCAGGCACAGGAGGGAGAATAGCTTACAGCCCCACGAGCCTCAGCACTAGGTCTAAAATGGGAGACAGCAGCCAGACACAGCCAGATGGGCAGTGTCAAGGAAATAAAGAGGCAGAGTTGGATAGTGTGAGAGACCCCCAGCACAGCACACCAAAAGCTTGATGTTATCAAGGTTTTTCATAGGTATCGTTGAAAAAGAAAATCGTAAGGCGACCTAACTGAGGTTAGTGACATAAATTCATAGAGTGCAATTTTGGAACGGATCGTGTTTACCTAGTCCTGCCTGCTGGGTAACACAAGCAGTGAATCCCTCACACAGGCTCAGTAAGGCTACTTGAAGTGGAGCCCTCCTGCTGCACAGATGTTAAGCTGGGCTGAAGAAGACCCAAGCGGTGGGGATGCCACCCCCTTCAAAGTTACTGCAGCAGGCCGGTGTCGTGGGGGGGTCACGGGCTTCTGCCTTGGCTCTCCTTTAGCTTTGGTCCAGCGTTAGTGTTCTTCTGTGTCCTTTCCTGCTAGATTTAATCTATCAGAAGGCTTTTGTCCGTGTAGCAACTTGTAGGTTATGACAAAGTCGTGGAAAAACTTCCCTTGGAAAAACTAAGTAGGTGGAGTTTCATTAGTCATTCACTACAAAGGATGTTTTCCAGACCTGAAATCATTCTTGTAACTCTCTTCTGAACTCCTTCCAATTTTCCAACATTGCTTCTAAAATGTAGACACAAAAACTGGAGTCAACATTGTAGCAATAGGCTTGCTGAAAGGAATACAGAGGTACCACATCACCTTCTTCCTGCTCAAGTTTGCGGCTATGACTCAGAGCCACAGAAGTGCCTCTTCACAGCACAGCCCCATTTTTTGGTAGAGTCACCATCTTTCAGGATGAAAGAAAAGCCCCCGAAGTCTGTGGCTCGCTTTGGTTCTAGGGATAGAACTTTGCCTTCAAGTTTGTTTAAAATTCCCCTTACTCTGTAAGCCATAGCAATGTATTTTTGCATCACCATCATGCTGATCACCAAACATTTGCCCCTAATTTTGTATTTTGCCCTAAGTAGTTTTGTTCCTTCCTTAAGAGCGGTTTTCAACACTTCTTCCTAGTGTTGTACTTGAACTTTAATGAAAGAATCTGTACCCAGGTTGAGGAACAAGGTTTGTTTTGATATGGGAGAACAGATAATATTTATGCACTGCTGGGAGAGTTTTGGTCACACATTCATTTAAGAGTATTTGCCGTTGCCAACACTTAAAATTTTTATGTCCATGTTATATTTTCAGGAGTCTTAAAGCTTCAGCTCTCAGCAGTTTGCAATTAGTTGACCATAAAAATTCTTTTTTAGACAAACAAATAAGCAAAAAAAACAAACAAAAAACCCTGCTTCCTTCATTTTCTTCACCTTTGTTGTAGCCTCACCTCAACAAGAAATCAAAGAGTAAATAAAAATAACTCATGCTTGTTTTGCCAGCATGGTTTTTTTTGCAACATTTCGTAAGAGTACTCAGATGGTGAGAGCCGAGTGATAATTCCAAGTGCTCCTCATTCCAACATCAGGGCTTCAGCCCCCGTCTCTTGTGCAGATGGGGCTCCCAAGCATTTCGGCAAGAGCCGCAGGGGTGCTCAGCAGGGTGCTGCATGGCTGGTAGTTTTCCAGGTCAAGTGTCACATATTGGCAACCGGATGTTTTCAGGGGACTTCAAAATCAGAAAGCAGCAAATATAAAAATATTCGTTGTGAAAAAAATCTCTTTAACTTTTGTTTTTGCAGCTTGAAATGGCAAGGTCAGTGCAGCTCACGTTTTTGACAGCATGTGAGTGGTTGTGAGGAGTATTTTAGTAACAATCTAGAGTTACTGAGTATTTTATCAGAAACACCTATTCTTGGGGAATTTGGGGAGCAGCTGTGGCCTGGCTGGTGGTGCTACTGGTTTCTAAGCTCAGACACAATTGCAAACTGTCTGTTATGGCAAATTGCTGATTTGCTGTTAGCTCAGAATGATTTCTCATGGGTCACTGTGAACACACTGCTTTAAATGTACATTAAATATTTAACTATTGGCCTCATGAAAAATGTGCAAGAAACAAGGTGTAATAGCAGCAGGATCTTTTTTCTGTTACCTAAAATGTGTGACTGTTTGTGTTACTGTGTGGAAGCCTTGGGAGCCTTTTCCACCAATTAATTTACCAATGCCAGCCTAAGGTAATATCAGACCTATGGCTTCTCCATACCACAAAACAGCTCATACGCTATTCTCAGCACATTGCTTGAAAACATAATGCTAGAAAAATGGGCTGTAGACATTAAGTAGAATTAATGAGTTGTTGCCTAGGTAAAGTTGAATAGTAGTAACAAATGACCTGATACATAGTGAAATAAGGATTATTAAAGTCCATCGTTTCTAAATTCCACTATTCAATAAGCATACTGGGCTTTAAAAAAGTCTCCATGTAAAAAAAAGTGTGAAAATTTTTACATCTCTGTATTAGCAATAAAAACAAACGGCTAAAACTGCAAGTGAGCCACCTGCTAAGATGCATTTCTGTGTTAAAATGCACATCTAAAAGTAAGTTAAGAATGCAGCTGATTCGTGAGCATTACTTTCCAGTAGCTGATCAGTTATTTTCCCTCCAAAAAGGAAAGTATCACCCAAAGACTTGAGCTGTGTGTAGCCGTTAGCCTGTGTGTGTGTGCATCAGGATGCATGCTTCGCAGAGGCCGGCGCTGCGGCTGCAGGCTGCGAGGCAGCAGTGCGGGCGTGCTGTGCTCGCGGCTCGCACAGAACTCACTGCCCGTTGTGCTGCTGCTCCTCGCCCGCGCAGCAAAGCTGCACGCCAGGTAGCAGCGGCAGATGGACAGTTCCTCAGGCTGCAGGGCGCTAGTGAGGAAGAGGCACACGCTCAGAAATGCTGCGTGGCCAGCACACACCTAACGGGGCACCCGAGTTGTGTCATAAGCTTAGAGGAGTTCAGCTGTTTTGCTGAATCAGGGCCATATGGCTTAACAGTCTTTTATCAGCAACTGATTCCTGCGTTGCACAGCTGTCTCCCTTTGTGGTGATGATTTCATTGATTTAGGGAAAAAAAAAAAAAAAAAAAAAAAGAAGAAGAAAAAATGGTGAAAAAGAAAAATGTGAAATATGGGCCCCACAGGAGGAGGGTGATCCTGGTGTATTCAAGGCATCAGGGCAGCTTCCTCTAGAGAAGCCATCCCTGGAAGCTGATAGTCATTCCCTTCCCTGCAGTAAGTTCATCATGGAGGCACCAGGCAGAAACTTCACATGGAGCAAAGACAAATATTGTGGCGCCTTTTTGCGGTTTAACATTTTGAGGAAATTGTTACTTCCCTTTTTTCTTTTTTTTTTCTTATAACCACAACATTAATGTGGGTATTTTCTTCGAGACTTTTTTCACTGCCGTTGCTGTCACTGTAAAACTCTTCTCTCTTCCCCTGTGTTTTTTCTAAGTTGTGAGAACTAAACTTATGATACTGACAGTCAAATGAAGAATATCGCCTTCAACATCTGTTATCGTTTCCCAACAGGCTGATTTAAACTGCAACATTCAAGATGATACAGGAGCGTTTTATGGAGTCACTAGTCAGTATGAGAGCTCAGAAAATATGACAATCACCTGTTCCACCAAAGTCTGCTCATTTGGAAAGCAAGTAGTAGAAAAAGTAGAGGTGAGTCTTGTGCTGGGTTTGACTTCCTCTTTTAACTCCGGACTGGGCACTTCTGCTGCACCAGGGGCACTGTGGAAGGAACAGCGATTCCCTGGTTCCCTTTGGGATATTTTTAGGCTCTCTTCTCTTTAGATTGCTCTTATCTGTCTTTTCCTTCCCTCCTGTAATCCTTCCCAAAGGAATTCCTTCCCAGCAGCATTTTTGGCTTAGTTTTAATTCCCCATGTGTCTAGTGACACTACTAAAAGTAACATGCCGGCTGCCTGCAGCCCCTCTCCCTTTCAGCAGCGGCGCCCGCCTTGCGGGCAGCCTGCAGCCCCCGGCAGCGCGATGCCGCGGCACAAACGCGCTGCGCGCCTGCCCGGCCGCCTGCCTGCTTTACCACAACCTGTGTGCAGCCCCAGTGAGGTGGCAAACGGCGCCCTATAATCTAAACTGTTTAAAACATTTTAAAGGTATGGACAGTATATGCTCCATTTCTCTTCATGCTCTTTTTATGCACAGAAATGCACACTCTCCACAGTTGCCAGCAGCTTTTGGATACAAAGACCTGTGTTTTTAACATAAAAGGGCCCTTTTTTTTCCTCTTAGCACAGAATGGTATGAATTGGGAAGGTAAATATTTGGCTTGCTGCACTGTGATGCTGCAACTATTACACTTGTCCTTGGTGTAATGAGCTACACGTGATATCAACAGTGCAGTTTTTGTACAGGCACTTTTAGCCTACAGCTCTACACTAAGTATTTGTAGATGTCTTGGTCCCTTTGCATGTCCTCCTTGTAGTAAACATGGTTTTTGTGCATTGTGAGCATAAAGAAGTTTTCCAGGATTTTGATTATTCCAAGTCTGGATGAAGCAAAGAAATCCCACAAGCCTCTGGGTGTTGGCATCTGGACAGCTGAAGTCCAAGAAATCACTACCTTATCCACCTTCAGTCCCTCATGAGCTACAGCACTGCAGACCAGTCTGCTGCTTCTAGCTGTAGCCTTTCCTCTTTACAATTCATAATTTCCTATAATAATATGGCATGTATTGCTGTATTTATAAACATACACTCTCATATAAATATAATAAATACAAGCTTATTTCTACTGTTTCCTTTGCAGCCATCTGCCCTGCAGTTACTAATTTTATCCCAAACTCTTCATATTAATTCATTGTTACTTGAGTTGAACTTACCATTGTGTAACCCCCCCACCCCAGTTACTGATTCCCAAGCTAGAAGGCAGCAGTGAGATTCTACCTGTATTTTACCAATACAGGTTTTCAGTGTTCAGCCAGGCACTGAGCACGGTGAGCGTGCTCAGTGAGCACGGTGCCTTGCCAAGCAAGGCTGCAGAAGGGGGGGCTTCAGACCCTCTTCAGTATGTGCAAAGAAAGAAACCTGCCAGCTTTAGCATTTCCTAAAAATCGTTCAAAAGTGTCTTAGCCTTTTTTGTTTTTCCCCTCCAGACTGAATATGCAAGGTTTGAGAATGGCCGATTTGTGTACAGAATAAACCGCTCTCCGATGTGTGAATATATGATCAACTTCATACACAAGCTGAAGCATTTACCAGAGAAATACATGATGAACAGCGTGTTGGAAAATTTCACAATTTTATTGGTATGGACTCTTTTTATTTTCTACTTCTAAAATGCACTCAGGCTTTATACGGCTTGCTTAACCCACAATATTGAGAAGCAGTTTCTGAATCCCTTAGTAAGTTATGCTTGCTAAACATATCATAGCAGTGACTTCAGGGTAGTATTCTTGGAATTTTGTACAACAGAAACAATGAAAATGATAAAGCTGGAGGAGAACAAGAACAAAATCTGTGTTACTTTCTAGAAATTCAGCTTATTTCTCTCTCTCCTTTTTTTTTCTCAAATGCAAGTCTGTATTTGGTGTTTCTGTCAAGCTCAAGGCAGTAACTTTGAAGCATCCCATCCAGCTAATGAGTGAGAAGCCACTTGTAATACTGCAGATGTCAGTGGTGTTAATTAGTTCTCTTAGCGGGCCAGGGAAAGCAGGCAGCAGTGGAGACGCTGCCCCCAGCCGGGGATCTGAGCGTGAGGAAAGGGCCTCCTAGCTGCCTTTAAGGCAATTTCATCCCGCTCTGCAGTGCTCTCCCTGCGGCTTTGCTGTGGCACCACCAAGCGCTTCAGAGCCGTGAGGCGCAGCGGCCCCCGGAGCGCTGAGGCAGGGAGGGAAGGGGCGCACAGCAGCAAGGGGAGCGGGCAGCGCGCTCGGGGCGCAGCCCCTGGCGCTGCCCAGGCCCTGGTGCCTCGCAGGCGAGCCAAAGCCCCTGGGAGCCAAAGCCCCTGGCGAGCCAAAGCTCGGCCAAAGCCGAGCCCCTGGGAGCGCGCAGGCCGCAGGGCTGGCCCAGCCACCACAGACGGAGAGAGAGACAGGGAGCGCCCCGCAAACGGCCGCCTCCGAGCGCTGCCTGCGCGGAGGCAGCCCGGGCCGCCCTGCTCCGGCAGTGTCTAACCCCTGCTCTCCACCTCTTCTTCCCCCCTGCAGGTTGTAACAAACAGGGATACACAAGAAACCCTGCTCTGCATGGCTTGTGTATTTGAAGTGTCCAACAGTGAACACGGAGCACAGCATCATATCTACAGGCTTGTAAAGGACTGAGCAGTTATTTATATATACACTTCATTTCACTTCTTTATCAAAACACAGACTGTAAACCTCAACACTAAGTGGCAGTGCCTCTGGCCCAACTTTCACCCACATTTTTCTAAATCCTGTTTTAGTGAAGTCATTTTTAATGTGTTCATATATAATTGTAGCTGTGAAATTCTGGTACAGTTGTAAAAATTATTTCTAAAACTTAAGTGTTCTTCAAATTTGTAAACCACAGTTCTTTGGGAAGACTGTATTTAAGAACCTACTGCCTCTGTCTGTGGAGGCCTATTTTTAATTCTGATAGAAAAATGTATGACAGAGCATTTGCCATGGGGAAAAACTGACAGCATTTATAAGAATTTATTTTGGGTTTTTTTTTTTCAACATAAAAAAGACTTGTTTTATGATGCAAGTGAAATTGAAATGAATCTTTAGCTATAACTGTAAATGAGTACACAAAGTTAATAATCTTTATAGAATTATCTTTGTAACTAATTAGGGTGGAAGATACGGACGAATGTAATTCACTAAATTATTTTTTAAAATGAAGCATTTTTCTGTTTGAAACCAAATGAAAAATATAGCCTTAAGAAATGCCTGATAGAAAAAGACAGGTCCTAAAATTAGGCAAATTTTGTATTTTTTTCTCAATGCTAAAACTAATCTTCTAATCCATTAAACTTTCAAACAGATATTGCAGAGAAAGAAAACATCATCCCTTATCCCTAACATATCTAGTGTATTTTAAAAGAATATAAATTGTATTGTACTAATATGAAAATTTGATTATTTAATGAAAAAGATGGTTCATTTTGCAATAAGTAGGCAAATACTGAAGATTTAGACTCGCATTATATGTAGTCTTGTGTGCGCAGTTATATTTTATATGGACAATTATGTTTTCTAATAAGTTGAGTGAAAAACTTGCAACTCTGAAATGAGCAAAGAACGGAAACAACCGATGTGACAGCACTGTAACTTGTAAACTGAAAGCAAAACACAAATGTGCTTGAGAGAAGAACACATATGCCTCTGAAAGATCAATAGCTTTAATATCTATGAGATGCTAGAAAATCACACCCAGCATCAGGCAAAACAATTTGGAAAGTGAGTGGTTTTTCCTCCTTTTCCTCTTTTTTCATGGTGCTCTAACCCCTCACCTGAGTTCTCTCCAGCTCACACAGAGCTGACACACTTGGTCCTGGCAGAGGCCTTCTAGGACTATGTGTTTGTACCACGTGGTCTGATAAATCAGGGCAGACTCCAGGGACTGAAGCAGAGCTGGAGATAGTTTAATACCGTCAGGACTCAACAAGTGCACGTGGGTGTCAGTGACCCTGAGGTGCGCGTATGTGAGCTGAGTGTTGTCATTCCTGCTGGCCTGGCCCGTGACGGCTGCGCAGCGTCTCTCTCTCGTCCCGCTGCTCGCGCAGCGCTGGCCGCCCCAGGCCCCCGTTGTCCAAACAGGTGCTCGGCCAGCAGCGCCCTCCCGCGCGCGACATTTGGCTGAAAGGCTCGTGGGGCGCTTGGCCAAGCAGGACACGTTAAAGAGAAGGCGTGAGATTCCCCACAAAGAGTGGTCTTGGGAGGGCCTCTTGCAGCCATGAATCAAAGACCTTAACATTTAGCAGATGCCTTTACCAATATGTACCCGTGCACTATTAAAGTCTGGACTTTGCTCCTGGGCAGTGTCATAGATGCCAAAAAAAAAAGGTCAGTCTTACCGTTTGAGATACTGCATTCCTACCTACAGCACTCCTTGCTGGAATTGCCTGTTGATGAGTTACGGCGGTGAGAGTGTTTCCTAGCAGAGGTAGAGGGTTGCTCTAAGCCTGCATCAGACCATGTTAATGCTGACCCCTGAGGAGGACTCATGTTAGAGGAAGATAAAAATGGCAGTGAGGGAAGGGAGACCGCTCAGGTTCCTTAGCCTGCCTCTGACCTAAGCCCAGAGGGTGGATGACTGCCGTGACGTTTGGCTGTTATCTGTCCATGGATATTAGGGCTGGTGATCTTTCAGTTTATATTCTGTGAACTCAGAAAAAAACAGAAGAATATGTCCATGGTAAGGTCTCTTACACTCATTTTTAACACTAACAATCACATCAGGAAAAGCACTGCATTGTAACAGCCTAACGGTAGCCCTTTATTCTAAGCACTTGGTGTTACCAGTCAAAAACTACTTTTTGTTTTGTTTTATTTTGTTCTAAAGTTGTCTTTTATTTAGGGTTTGAATTGTGGGTTTGGTGATTTTTTTTTTTTTTTTTTATAACAAGCAAACTTTTTAAGGCATATAAAGTATGTAAGTCAATTTGCAAAACCAGGTACAGTTTTTTTAATAGAATCTGGCACACTACGTATGTCGTAACTATAGGGTATAAAAAAGTCACAATGTTTATTAGTGTTCACATATGTAATATTAGGAGAACTACTTCCATCGTCTTTTCTTTACACTTCTGTAAATGATCCATACCCTGTATGTGTTAATTCTTAAAAGCCTTAAATCCTTCAGATGTTCCGTGTGGGGTGTGTAGTCCAACAGGCTGCCTGTAAACTGTGAGCTCTTTTGTAAGCTGGAAGAATTTAGCTTGTTACTGTTACTTTTTAGGAACCTTTTAATTGAGAGCTGCCAAAGCATTACAATATGCAGTGCCTTAGCATTATATTAGAAGTATCCTTAGCCTCTTAACATAAATTTTATATCTTGTTTTATTAATTGGTTCCATTTTAAAAATACATGTACTTTTTCCCATAGAAAAGCTCTTTTGACTGCTTGGTCTAAACCAACCTTCAGTACAGGTCAGTCCCATCACGACACAGTTAAATGTCTATACCAAAAGGAAAGGTTACAGATTCATAGTATTCCTTGAAAAGTGAATTGTATTAATAATGCTGCCTTTTTAAATTTCATGACCAAAAAAAATAACTAATTGTGACTCTTCTGCACTCTAGCATGAAAGTGCCTTTGGTTTGAAATTCCAGCTTAGAAAAGTGCTGCCATAATAATGACAATTTGTAGAGAGACCAAAAATACTTAGTTATCACCGTAATGCCTTTGGTTTATTGGAATAGGTTGAAACTACAGGCCTCCATTCACAAAAGAGCACCATTTCGAGCAATGTAATTTTGCTAATGCTGAAACTGCAAAATGCTGGAGAATAATCTACTGTTTGCCATTTCTGACAGCACTGCAAACCAGCAACTGGTGTGTTTATGATACACAAATGAAAGCGATTCACATTTATATTCTCTTCAGCCACTTGAGCATCTGCATAATGTGACATCCACATACTGCAGATTTTCAGAGAGTGGACAAATGCGACCTTGTTCTCCTCTAATAATATTTCAGTATCTGTGATGATTTTTTGGTTTAGATAAAGTTTTGTTTACAAAGTTGTGCACGCTCAAATGTGGATGCATAAAAATCAAGGTGGAAATGGAGAACAGACTATAATAAGGGTCAATGCAATTGTGTGTTTTTAATAAGTATTGAATTGTTAAGTGTGAGCATTGCGGATGAAGGTGCTGGTAGAGAAACTCTGGTCAGCACTATTCAAAACACAGGGTTGTTTTGTTTTGGTTTTCTCCCAGGTGATATCTTGGTAGAAGAAAGTTAGCTCCCCCTAAAGACACATCTGTATTTGAAACCTTCTGTGAACGGGGGCCATACTCAACACTCAACTAACAATGATGGGAAGGGGAGCAAGATTTTAAGAAAAATACGTTAGAAAGAACAAATATCAGCAAAACCAAAAGCTGTCAGAGGGATTATATAGTTGTGAATACGATTTTAACTTGATTTTTAAAATATTTGATGAAAACTAAGATTAACTTTTTATATAGAGAAATATTGTGACATTGTGTGGTAAATATTGTGATAATTCAAGTTCCCTGTCTCTAAAATATTATTTTTGTTATTCCTTCAAGGTCTAAATCTCACTTACCTCTATCACACAAGTAATCCCATTGAACACAATGAGAGCGAGGTAGGGCAAAGACAATTCCGCCCCGCAAGTAGAGAATGCATTTTCAAATGATACGAAACATTTCAATTGTCCTAGTCAATATTTGTGATAAACTATACTTCTGTCTCACTAAAATAAATACTAAAATAAGTTTAATGGTACCATTTGGGGCTGTTAAAAATTGCTACTAACAAATGTAGTTTTAGTTACTTGAATTCCCAAATCATCTATATAGGTACTGCACCACTATTTTGAAGGAATTGCAGATATAATGCTTGTTTCTCACTTTCCCTTTCTACTGCAGCTACAGCTTATTAAGTCTGGCAGTAGCTTCTTCCGTTAAGACTCCACGGTATAGGCTTTTTTTTTAATAATGAAGGGTGTACATTAATGTTGAATGTAAGTAACCGGCCAGTTCAAGGCAGATACAACATTTGACGTGCTAAGCCGTGTCTATTTATTTTTCCACTGCAACTCCTTGGGCATACTTGCTTTCTGAAGCAGTCCCCTTATAGTTTGCCTGGATTCCTCATACCAAGAAATGTTTTGTCTACTCCCTCCTTGACCCATACCGATACATGTAGTACCCGGCCACAGAGCGCATGTGATAAGATCCCGTTTTGGACCTTTCTCAGGATGATCTCTTCCCCCCTGCCCTCCCATTTCTGACTTTCATAACAAGACATTTAGCCCCCTGAGAAAAAGATTGAGGCTGGATAATTTTGAGGTACAAAGTGTTTCACTTTGTAGGTCTTCATCTTTTAACTTTTCAGGTCAATCTTGCAGAGATCATGTAATTAGTTTTAGTGTGTAAATTAAATCTTAAATGCACTCAGTTGACAAAAAGGAGATGGATCCCTGTTACCTCCTTACAAAATATGTGTTTCGTTTTTGTTTTGTTTTGTTTTATGGGCCTCTTTGATTCAGGCTCATGACTGCAGACAAAAAATACAATATGTGCCTGAAAAAAAAGACAAAAGAATTTTATATCATTAAAAAACCTGAATAGCCTTTAATTCTTCAGTACATTTTATGTAAAACAGGTTGGGTTTTTGTTTTGTTTGGGGTTTTTTTTTTGCCATGTGCATTTGTTCACATTTGTAAATGACTTAATGGAATTCTCACTTTATGTTTATTTGTGTAATGTGTATAAAATGGGTTTGTGACTTAAGCATATTCATATATGGTCAGTGGTTACTTTAATATTGTACTGCTGCTGGTAACTTTTGATGTAGAACTTGCCTTTTGATGATAAAGTACCTCTAGGTTAGACAGGGAGGGAAGGCTCTTTGAAAAAAAAAAGTGAATGTTCTCCAATGTTTTCTTAACATATT